CAACACCGACATACATCAGTTCAACACCGACATACATCAGTTCAACACCGACATACATCAGTTCTTGTATACCCCCATAATGGCTTACAAAACTGTGGCCGTGATTGGCGTAAGGTCTCACCTGTCTCAGCGCATCCAACACCTCAATTCGGCTAACACTCACTGTAGGCCTCGGGCAGCGTGGGAAAACCCGTCGTCCGGGCTCTTATCGCAGCTGGCTTCAAAGTCACGGCGATCACCCGGCAGGACTCTACGGCAACATTCCCCGAGGGTGTCGAGATTCGAAAGGTCGCGCTCGACTACATGGAAGGATTGATTGATGCATTGGAGGACCAGGATGTCGTCATCAGCACGGCACCCGGCTCAGTGGCCGGGGAGCAAAGCTGGTGGGCGGAGTGTGCGCGGATTGCTCGCGTGAAGCGATTCATCCCCGCCGAGTTCGGCCACAATACCCGCCCCGGCAAGCTCACCGGCCGCTTCAAGGAGCTGCTGGCTGAAAAGACCAAAACGGTTGACTTCGTGATTGAGCAGGCGGGCTATGACTCGGGCCACCGCATGACTTGGACCGGGATTGCAACCCATCTGTTTCTGGACTGGGTAAGTCCATGGACCCATTCTCCTATCTACTTACCTATAGTATAGTGACGGGACCAAGTCCAGAAAAGACGTGCTGACAAAATTCGATCAAGGGCCTGGACCACGGAGTCTTTGGCATCAATCTCAAAGACAAGACCGCAAACATATTCGACTCGGGCAACGAGCCCGTTTCCGTGTCAACACTGGCCTTTGTGGCACAGTCCGTCGTGGCCGTCCTGCAGCGCGACGAGGAGACGGCCAACCAGTACTACGAAGTAGTCGAGCACACAGTGACCCAGAACCAGCTGCTCAAGATATTTGAAGAAGAGACGGGGGTCCAGTTTGCCGTGACCCACACCAGCACAACAGAGCTGTCCAGGATTGCCGAGGAGAAACTGGCTAAGGGAGACCCTAGTGCTTTCTTCGAGGTGCTCTTGGCGTACAACTTTGCTGATGGCGCGGGACATGCAGTCGAGAATGGGGAGCTGGCGAACGGAACACTCGGGCTCAGGTCGGGCGATTTGAGGGAGACCATCAGAGAGTATATCCGGTCCTATTCCGGGCCCGGAGTGCTTGATTTTGGTTCAGATAGATTGAGATAGCGTTAGCGGACGAACGGGGTCTAGAAGCTTGTCAATAGCGGCAATATTCTGAATCTGTGGGACGCTGGTGAGGATATAAGTGAAAAGGGGCAGCCTGCTATATCTGCCGAGCATCCTACAGCCCGCACCCCCGCATCCCGTAGGTCCTTACCCGGTGGCAGGCATCGAAGGCTAGTCCTACCGCCTATTACTGCAATGAACTCAGATTTCCCTAACTATCACTCAACATAGGGCTAGCCCATCATCTTATCCTTGCGTCCATGCCTCCTCGCGTTCCAACCTACACACCCCTACCAAGAGTTCCACTATCTCCGCTACATCACCTCACCTATCTCTACTACCTCTACTACTAAGACTACTAGTGATAGTTCTTATCCCCCAGCCACCACGGATTTACCAAGGTATAACACATGTTGTATCGACAACCTGACCATAGCAACAGAAATGCCCTCTCCTACCTCGGCCTCACCCCCCGCACATCATGATGATAATCATGATCATCCCCAACCTGATCAAACCCCTCCCATTTTTAAGTCAAGTTTCACCTCACAAGCATACGTCTCCCTATTCCCGACTCAACCCATCATGCTGATCACAGTGACCTACACACTCCCGATCGCCGCGGACGAGATCCTGCTGGACACGGCAGCCTTTTCCGTCTGCGCAACCGACGTTAAAGCCGCGAGCGGCGCGTTCGCCTACTGCGCCCCACCACTCATTCTAGGCCACGAGTGCGCGGGCACCGTCGTCGAGGTTGGAAGCTCTGTTGTCGGCCTCGCTGTCGGTGACAAGGTCGTCTTGTCCTATGCCAGTTGCGGGACATGCCAAATGTGTGAGGGGAATGGGGACGCCTATTGTGTTGAGTTAAGGAGGTTGAATTTTGACGGAAGAGTCGTCGGCGCTGTCAAGGGGGAGGGGGGCGAAGTCAAGGTTAAGGGGCTCTTCTTTGGGCAGAGCAGCATGGGCCGACGGATCGTGGCGCGGGCAAGGAGCGCGGTGAAACTGCCGCCAGAGACTTCCTCGCGGGAGATGTGTCTCTTTGCTGCGCTCGGGTGTGGGATTCAGACCGGGGCAGGGGCCATCTTCAACGTTGCGCGGCCCGGCCAGGGAAGTTCGGTGTGCATCTTCGGAGCGGGATCGGTTGGCCTGGCGGCGTGTCTTGCGGCAAAGCTGAGCGGGCCGGCGAGGCTGGTGCTGGTGGACAAGTCGGCCAAGAAGCTTTCCATGCTCCCTGCTTGCGTGCGCGAGGCGGCGACAGATCTGGTCGATTCGTCTGCCTTTGCTGCGGGGAGGGAGTCAGAGGAGCAGTTGATCGAAAGGCTGAAAAAGTTGACGCCCGGAGAGCACGGGTTTGACTACGTTCTGGACTGCGTTGGGCGAGGAGACTTGGTCAAAGTCGGTCATCTGGCGCTCAAGGCCAGGGGTACACTCATCACCGTCGGCGGGTCTCTGGATATCATGCAGGTAACGCTGAGCCAGCATTTGGCGAAGGGGATAACATACCGAGGCACACACCAGGGTGACTCGGTGCCGCGCGTGGTACGTTACGGACTCTCTAGCAGCAGCGTTGGTGCCTTCAGCTTACCGAGTGTGTCTAGGCAATACCTAAGATGATTGCTCTGTGGCGAGAAGGTTAGTATTGCCTGAGTACTTGACCCTTGGTCCTTGGATAGCAGCGTAAGCGCTCACTGAGACCCCTAGGAAAATTTCCGTTCGATAAGCTGCTCAGCTTCTACGGCTTCAAGGAACTGCACACGGCGCTTCAACACGTGCGAGACGGCCGGGTGATCAAGCCGGTTCTTGTATGTGACGGGGACACCCTACTACCTGCATACCTAGGTAGTCCGGTGTGCCATGAGAGAACAAGGCGCTTCGATCATGGAGAACGTCAGCATGGCCCATATGGGGTCAGCGGTGCCGTTGAATCACAGAATCAGAATGCTCAATATGAGTAACTGCATTGTGTCATGTTGCAACCGAGACGGAGAGACAAGCGAGAGCTTTTCGAAATCTTCTGGGCAAGAGGGTTCGTGTCTGCGACTTGCTCGAGCCCGACAATTGTGGTGGTCACTACCAGGCACAAGGTGTGACCGCCTCAACGTGTCAGGTACAGATGCGCCAGGCTCTGTTAAGAGGGGTAGTCGAGAGGAGAACTTTCACATACAAAATTCTTGCCAACAGCGGGTACATGCGCTGAACTCAGCTGGAGGAAGGACGCGACTTCCTGGTAGGCTGGTTGACCGTCAAGTTCCATTTGGTCTGGACCGTACGTCTGTCTCGAATGTCCTTGCTGATGTCGAAGTTAGATCCATTCACTTGCTTACCGAGGCAGGCCCTATTTGACTCAGAGACGATCGGAATTCGGAACTACATGTACGAAGTATGCAAGTCAGTCAGTTATCGTGGGTTGGCGATGCCACTGGCAGGACGCTGGGTTGGATTCCACGCTCTTCTGGGGCACAAACAACCACGGCAGTGATGGAATTATGCCTACCTAGAGTATTAGCGGGGGCAGTCCAAGGATACGTCAAACCATAGCCGCCGCTCAGCCTTCAGGCTGTTCTGATTGTGTCCCGTCTCACAGTTCAGATGACAGGCCTTGGCTCTCGTGGTAGTTCGCAATGGAAAGAGTTCCAGCATGTTCCAGGCTTGGTTGCCTACTGTTCGATGTCATCATGTCACACCTCTCACTCCTACCTTATCTTTCCAAGTTGACTGTTTGACAAGTGTTCAGTCTGCATTCAGGCAGGTGCGGGCCGCTTTAGGGAGCCACGAAATCTTAAAGCACATGTACAAGACTCGGACTGCACAACACAGTAGGTACGATGGGGTACTGGTATAAAATGACTCCAGGGGACCTCCAAAACCGGCAGGCTCGACCTGAGTGAACAAATACGAACAACATTCAAGCGATTGGTTACTTCAACCATTAACCACGTCTTGAAATCAAGGTATTAGAGTCCATGATGAAGTACTCTGGTCTCCTTGCATCGACTCTTCTGGCAGGCACCTCTGCTTTCCCTCTCAGCCCCCAGGCCGGCAAGGGCCGAGATGTCCAGCAGGTAAACCTCAGATTTCACGGGGCAGCCGCAACGTATACCATGTCCTTTCCAGCTGACGGTGTTGAGCATCGCACCAGTAAGCCCTTTCAGAGGCCTAAAAACTTCCCCGCAGCCTTTTGCAAAGCCTAATGCACTGACATATTGTTATGTAGACAACCTCATGTCTGTCGCCGTCATCGAAGCTCCCGACTACAACGCCTACTCGCAGTGCGTGTTCCGCTCAGCCGGCGACGCCCAGGTGACCTTCACAAGCAGCATCTCGCCCGACGGCACCAACCTGGTCTTGGTCGGCCCGCCCCAAGCCATTGTTTCTGTCAAGTGCGAAGGCATGTGCGTGCCCAACTACAGCGACTGCTACGCGAATGGCCAACCCGTTGGGCCCTGCTGCAATGGATACTGCGCGGCAAACAAGTGCCGGCCATGGAACCTTCTTTAACCACGTCGGGGGAGGGAATGGAGTGTGGATGGCGGCAGTTCGGTCTCTTGTTAGGGCTTGTACATTGTAAGCCTGAGGGTTGAGTGATGATGGGGTCTTGACTGAGGACAACCTGGAGTTGAGGAGGGGCACCGGAGATGTGTTTATACATTAAGGAGGATTCGTCGAATTGCATAAACAGTGAGCATATAATCTTCAGGAGTCCAAAGTGAGGAGACCATGCGTTTGCCAAGTTCCACTCGTAATGTCTAAGGTACCTTCGACTCCCTCTTGTAGCTCGTCCCCTTTGCTAGCCCCGCCTTTCATATCTTCCGAGTCCTCTGGCCCCTCTCACCTTGAGCACCCGTACCTGGAAACATGATTTGTACCAATATTGCACTCAGGGAGACCTGGGGCCCGTGGAGTATGTACAGTACTGTACATGGGGTCGGTGGACCAGCCATTTGAAGAAAATGACAGGTCTGATATGATCAACTGTTGGGGGCAATTTAACTCCAGATACAGGGCATGAATTCGATATGATGTTGCTCTCGACATTGGTTAGCTAACTTTCTCAAGCCTGGATTCTCATCAAGCCCAAAGGACGTTCAATGACTTGATGAGTGTATCCTAGAGCGCTGTTTGGGTGAGCGACTTTTGCCCTCCTTGGCGAGTAGTCGACGCTCTGTACCTCTACTAAGCTAGACGCCTGATGCATTCTGCCCTCCCGAACACCAGTCGACCTTCCTCCCAACCTTGTTGGAGAATCCCAAGTCCTCGGAAGGGGCTCTTGCATGCAACTCGTTCTTCTCCACCTGTCCAGCTCTTTCATCAAGGTTCATGATTCCATTCGTGGAACTGCCGAGACCACTAGACAGTAAGTAGGTGCCTCCTTGGGTACAGACGAAGCGTTGAGACGAACGAGAAGTACCATGCATAGCACAGAAAACTCCCGCCGTGAAAAGAAAGAGCCACTCTTACAAACTACTAACCACCCCCGATCTGGCTACCGACACCGCCCAAGGCCTGGCGTCGAAGTGGCTAGCTAAGCTGGGCTTATGCAGGGAGTGTTAGTGCGACAAGCCACACACCAGACCAGTCAATATCGCTTCCAGACGGCCGGATACGCAAGCATGTGGCGATATTACTGCAAGCCTCTTGCGGCACCTTGTTGGGCTCCATTGGCCCGGAAGTGCACGTGTGGCTTCTCTAAGAGAGAGATGGGCCTCCTCACTATGCAGCCCCAAGGACGGTTATTGGGTAGACCAGGAGGCGGTACACCATGCCGCTGAATTCCGAAGCTAAGCTGCTAGTTCCATATGGAAGTCGGTGTCGCAGATGGCATTCCCTGGAAGGGATGGGAAACTTTCCTCAATCTCAAGCCACAAACTGACCCTTCTTTTTGTACTACGAAGGCATGGACTTTTGGTGTAACTACCTATCACCTGTCGGATTTAGCCCGGAGTGGGCCGGGCCTCGGTGATATTGATGGGTGTATGATGCATAGCTTGATAATTCGTTGATGTCGACCTCGTCACTCGTCGAGGCATCACAGCAGGGTTTTGGCTAATCTAGCCGGATTGAGTCTCTGGGTGTGCGCACCTGGCCTTCAAGGTCTTGTTTGAGGATCGTAGGATGGCTCGATGGATACCTTGATGGATGGTGCTGGACTCAGGTGGAGGCATATCGACAAACTGCAAGAAGGATCCTCCCTAAGAGGAATAAACTGATAGCTTGGCAGCTCCCTACTTGCTACTAGCGCTTGAATTTGCCGCACACCATTAGGGGGCACTCACTAGGAATAAGTGTAGTCATAGATGCCACAGGCGCTGCTCCGAGACAAGCCGTGTTGGCCAATATTGCGCTGAAAACGACTTTATCGGCTCGCTTAGATCCTGGCCTCCGAAACTATCGGCAGCGACACTGCGACAGCAATACCGGAGAGCGCGGGCGCGGGCGACTACTGGGATGATGGAAGATTCCGTCTCCGGGGCGGCCTGGGGAGACGGGAGGTCGGCCGCAAAAGACGCGGATCAAATTTCAGTCCCTGCCCCACACTCGGCCACCGCAGCCAAGCGGTCGCCCATGGCCTAGACCCAGGCTGGCGGGACCCTGTGAGAACTCGTTGGGTAGGGCTGATAACCGAACAACGCCAGTTGCTAGTTGACGCCATTATCAAATTCTTGAAGTTTGTTCCGAACGCCATCTGCGCACCTTACCGGAGCGTTTCCCAGCGAACAGCTCGTCTGAGAGAGCCATCTTTTGAACCGACTTCGGCATCTTGGTGCTGAGATAGAAGGCCCGCCGGGAGAGCGCCGCGAAAGCGCCGATTGGGTGCACCAAAGCCGGGCCACTGTTCTGATATCGGACTGTGGCTGTCGCGCGAAGATGAAGTGTCTTGTCTCCTTGCCAATCTCACCAGTCAAGGACAACAAGACTAGGCCAGAGTAAGCATGAGCACGAGTCCTTCTGAGGCATAGCAGTGAGCAGAAGTTGGGATTGTAGAATGGTGAGAATGGATAGGGCAGTGGTAGAAAATGAGAGTGATCAATGTTCTGGCCAATGGCTGCCACCTGTTGTTGGGAAACACAGACCAACGCGCGTTTGTTGAAGCGGGGAGCCCAACTTGAGTCGCAAGTGCAGTCTGGATTGGTGAGCAACGCACGCCATCTGCAGTGTGCAATGCAAGCGGCGGGGGAGGTGACCGTGCTTATGCTCTCCAGGGTTTGCCACCTTGACAGCGAATAGCCGTTTGCCCTGGAGCCCTCCCTTCTCGATCCTCCTTCTCCCTTGCGACGATTGCGTAGGAACGTGCCGTACTGTGCTTTTTGGAGGCTGGGGATGGGTCATGAAACCGTCACCGCACATCGAGGTTTGCGCGGCGACTTGTGCCACGGCTATTTCCTAGTTTGGCAACATAACGCTATGCTCCGATGACATACCGGGAGACGCAACGCTTCAAACACACCGCAGCATGTTCAATGTTGATCACCCGAGTCTTCACAGCGGGGTTTACGTCACTCAGTTGGTTCTGGGCGGTTGTTGAGACTTTGCCCCTGAGAAGTTGCGTCTTGTTGCCTGCGCAACCTCCAGAGCCCAGTCGGAAAGTCGGGGTTCCCAAGGCCGACCCAGTTTGCTTGCGCAGAAAGGTCACATGTCAAGGCCATTGCATGGCGGGGTTGAACCAGTCGCAGAGTAGAACTAGCCTAAGGAGACATTCAAGAGGATCGAGCGAGGATCTGCTGCGTGTCAGCAGACCTGCTCATCCTCAGAACTTGAATGCGCGAGGAAAGAAGCGGCCTGTTCGGAGGGCGCCAAGCTCGAATGCCGTTTAGACCCGGAAGTCGGCGGCTCCAGTCGCGCTCCAGTCGCCCCCTCAATCGCACGGATGCACAGAGGCTCATCAATGTAGTGTAATTGAGAATCATCTCCATGAGCCGATAGCTCATCGGCTCGCCCGTTGGCGCATGGGTAGTGCTCAGCTGCACAAGATCAGGCTACACCAATCTTGCCAATGACAGACGGGGGTTGGCGTTGGCAGGCGGCGGCACGCGAGCCGGGCCCCTCGCCACGAAACAAGGAGGCGCTCCCGAAAACAGTCTGGCGCCCCTTGCGGCCCTTTGTCAAAAATGCTCATATACCGCATGGAGAACTCTTTGATTGTCCTCAGATCGTGTTGGAAGACATCACCTCGTCCGCATTCCTATACCCATTCCTCGCTACCAACACTCTTCCGTTTAGAAGATGGTTTCCTCAAAAGACCTTGTGTTTATCACTGGTGCAACGGGCCATGTCGGCTCATGTACCCTGGTCCACCTCCTCCGGGCGGGTTACCGCGTCCGGGCCGCCGTCCGGTCGGAAGCAAAAATGGCGTCGGTGTTGGCGCGGCCGCAGATTCAAGCGCTAAACCCACAATCCCGGCTCACATTTACCATCGTGCCCGACATCACTGTTCCTGGTGCATATGATGCTGCCGTCGAGGGAGCGACACATATTATCCACATCGCCTCGCCGTTGGCCTCGGGCGGGAACAACGTCCCGCTCAGCCAACATGATGCGCACTTCATCCAGCCAGCAGTCCGCGGCACCCTAAATTTGCTGGAGGCTGCATATCTTACTGGCACCGTCCGACGGATTGTCATCACCAGCTCCTTTGTTGCCCTCGTGCCAATGGACGAGCTTGAAGGGACAAAAAAGCGCGACCCACGCCGGCCGGTCTCACCGTGCGATCGCATCCCCTTCACGCCGGGCCCGTACAAGTCCGAGTTCCACGCATACGCCGCATCCAAGGTGGCAGCGCTGCAGCAAGCCGAGGCTTGGATCGATCAAGTACGGCCGCCGTTTGACGTCGTGTTCCTGCATCCGGGATTCGTATTGGGCCGCAACGACAATGCCACGACGGCGTCGCAAGTCATGCAGGGGACCAACTCGGTGGTATTGGCTCTGCTGCTCGGCAAGCGATTTGGGCCGTACGCCGGCGCCACCGTGCACATAGAGGATGTGGCGCGAGCCCATGTCTCAGCCCTGGACCCGTGGGTCCTTGGGAACCAGAGCTACATCCTAAGCCAGCCAGCGCGATGGGACGACGCAATTGAAATTGCCAGGCAGTCGTTCCCGGAGGCCATGAAGGCCAAGATCCTCGTGTCGGGAGGCAGCGTCAAGACGACACGGCTGCCCATGGATGCGAGTTTGACCGAAATGACGTTTGGCTTCCGGTTTGCAAGTTACGAGGAACAGGTCAAGAGCGTTGTCGACCACTTCCTGGAGTTGAGGCTGCGGAAAAAAATGCTGTTCTCAGGGGCGCGTACCAACCCGCCGGCACAGCAAGAAGTTGTCATGAACGTGAGCGCCATTGCGTGATAGCGATTGAAATCGTGGGGATTCGAGGGGATTTGGTGGTGCTGCAGGCAATTGACGATAGCGTGTTTTTGGGGGTTCCAGGTGCGGGCTGCTGCAGTACTTTCTTAGAAGCCGCGTCCTGGAGACGCTGGGAAGGCGCAAGCGTCGGATGTAATCAACAACAAGATACCCGATCGATAGATCTTATTATTTCTCTTCACTGAAAACATCGAATACTATATTGTACAACCCAAAAAACCTTACTCCTTCCTTTTACTGTCATTCATGACGAGTTGGTCAAAGGTACCTTTGGAATTACAGTAGTTGAAGAATACGGAGTACCTTCACTTGACCTCAACAATTGCATTTCCGAGGTGCTTGATCACTTCGCCGATAAGATAAGCACCAAAGCGGCAAAGTCTCAGCAAGTGGCCTGTGGCGTCACAAGCCCAGACACTCTCCGAGCTCAGAACACCGAAGTACCATAAAGTTTCTCTGCCACGCACTCACCGCACTCAGCATGGCGCGCATCGATGAAATGCGGTTTGAGCCTTCTCGTCTGAACAAGGCGAGCGCTGCCGAATACTCATCCTCCGAGTCCGATGCGGAGGAGGAAGACGAATACTTGATGCCCTCGCGGAATCCCCACGACAGCGAATTCGCCGACTACAACCCCAGGAAGCGGCGCCGCACAGGTCGCGACGCCAAGGAGAGCGCAGCTCTCGGGATATTTGGGTCTGAAAGCGAAGATGAAGGGCCGAGTCGGAAGTGGAAGCACAAAACGCTCCGCAACAAGGGTGTGAGCTTCGTCTCTTCAGCCAACCCGAAGCCCAGCTCCGACGAAGATGATCAGGATGAGGAAGATGAGGATCAGCAGAGTGAGGGCGGCGAGTATGCCGAAACAGATCCCAAGGAAGCTGCTGCAGAGGAGGAAGAGGACGACGACGACGAAGAGATGGGCGGTGTAGGTCTCGGCTTCAAGGGCGCTGCATCGGGAGGTCTAGGATGGACGCCTCCTACTCAGCAACAGTTGCCCTCTAAAGCCTCAGCACATCCCCAGAAGGCCTTTGTTAAGTCCAAATTCGACGCCAGCAATCCCCTGGGGACCGGGTTTGCGCCGACGTCAGCGAAGGTACCGACACTTCTTGTGAAAGACGATGAACCGAACACGCCCCGCACGGCGGCCCCAAGCACATTCAGCCAGGCCAGAGGTGGGAAGACGAAAATCAACACCGATTCATTCGCCGCGCGCATGATGGCCAAAATGGGTTACGTCGAAGGCAAAGGCCTCGGAAAGGAGGGCCAAGGGCGGAACGTCATCATTGAGGCAAACCTGCGACCCCAAGGGGCTGGTTTGGGCGCCGTAAAAGAGAAGACAAAACAAGAGAGGGAGGAGGAGAAGCGGCAAGCCCGACTTCGCGGCGAGGAGGTTGTGGACTCGGAGGAAGAGGAGAAGAAGAAGAAGGCCGCCCGTAGGAAAACGGCCCTTGCGGGTGGCATTAGCAGTGGCGGCGGCAGTGGTGCTAGCACCCCGAGACGCGCGAAAGCAAAATACCTCACGATGGATGAGATCAAGAAGGCAGCCCCTGGCCTTAACATTCCTGACGCCTTCACGCCGATTCTGGACATGACTGGGCCAGGCAAGAGGATGCTCACGTCGTCTTCTGGATTGATGACCCCCACAGGAGGCGCCGCTTCGACAGAATCCGTCGAAGCAGCCGAGAACAGGAAGCTCGCCCGGCGTGCACAGAATGACTTCATGGCCATTCTTGAGGAGTGGCAGGGTTTGCAGGAGCGCAAAGCCTACTTGGAATTGCAGCTCAAGCAAGAGCTACAAGAGCTGGAAGAGCTCTCGGCGAGCTTGCAGGGCAATAAGTCGGTTACTACAGCATGCGAAGTGGCTTCTCAACCGACGGAGAGCGGAGAGGTGGACCGGAAAGCGGATCTAAGCTATCGGCTGGACCATATCATTTCTGGTCTTGGGGATGCGAACAGCTCCCTCTCAGACTCTATGCTGCCGCAGATCAAGGAGGAGCTTTCTGCGCTCGCCGTCGCCGCCATCCACCCCGTATTCAACCAGTTCCGCCAGCTTTGGGAACCGCTCGAAGAGCCCAAACCCAGGTTCGTGGATGGGCTCAACTCGATCCGCCCCCTGCTCGGCCTCGACCAGCCGGCAAAGAAGACCTACCGCCGACCCACGGCAACACCCTATGAAACCATGATGTACGAGCTATGGTATCGAACCCTCGCCGGCACCATCCGGGATTGGAGCGTGCGCGACCCCGACCCGCTCATTGCCGTGATCGAGGCGTGGGACGGCCTCCTGCCCCCCTTTGTCCGCGCGCAAGTGCTGGGGGACGTCATCCGCAAGCTGGAAGACGCCCTCCAGAAGTGGCAGCCAAAGAAGCACACCCACAACCTCCCGCACAGCTGGATTTTCCCCTGGCTGCCGTATCTCCCGCCCGCCCACCTCGACCCCAAGAGCTCCACCGGCCTGGTCGCCGACGTCCGCCGGAAATTCCGCCAGCTCATCGACTCGTGGGACTTTAGGCGGGACGTCATCCCGGGGTTGAAGCAGTGGAAGGATGTGCTCCGCCCCAGCGGCGGCGCCCGCGACCACTGGACCCCGCTGGTCATGAACCACCTGCTGCCGGGCATGGCGCGGTTCCTGCGGACGCACTTCCGCGTCGACCCGCAGGACCAGGCGCCGTACATGGACGTACTGGACAAGCTGTTTGAGTGGCTCGACGTGGTCCGCCCCAGCATGCTCGCCGAGGTTGTCGTTGCCGAGGTGTTCCCCATGTGGCACGACGCGCTCTACCAGTGGCTGCTCCTGGACGAGACGAATTATGACGAAATCGGCCAGTGGTTCCAGTGGTGGCACGATGAGGTGTTTCCAGACGAGATCAAGGCGCTGCCGTCCATCGTGGCTGAATTTGACAAGGGCACCGCGCTGATCGAGAGGGCGCTGGACCTGGGCGATCGGGCGAGGGATGAACTGGAACCACCGGCCAAAGGCCCGGCTCTGCAACCGAGGGCAAGGTCGCCTAGGCGGAGGAGGGAGGAGAAACCTTCTCGCGGCAGAGAGGATGCCACTGCTTCGGTCAAGAGGCCCGAGGAGATCAGCTTTAGGCAGGTCATGGAGGAGTGGTGTCAGGAGAATGACTTGCAGTTCATGCGCGAACCTACCAAGGTCCATGTCGAAGGTCCCATGTACAGGATCTCGGCGTCGGATGGCAAGCGGGGCGTGTTGGTCTACTTTAAGGGGAACAGTCTGTATGCACTGGTCAAGAACCGGGAACCGGTAGAGATCAGGAGGGAGAATCAGGACGACTGGGGTACGTTGCTGGACTTGGTATCGTAGCCTCCTGGGACACCTCCAAATTTTTGTGTCGTAGACAACTGGAGTGCGCAGTAACGGCTATCAAACCAAATAAAACGAGCTATTTGGAATGGCATATTCGGCTCTGAGGTGGTTGCATTGAAATGTATGACTGTGTGCATCTCTGAGTTGACAGCACTATAACGGTAAACTGGATTGTCATATGAGACGCATATACGAGGTAGTGGGGCAGGTCCGCGATTATGAAGCCCTGACTAGTAAAGCCAAAACAAGCGTTGCTGTCTACTCACAAACGATATCCAATTGGCGAGTAATAACTGGCTTGATTCTGTTGGAATTGCAGTTGGGCAACGGGGGGCACTCCCAGACGTTGACCAGATACAGAGATGATTACATTCAACGGGGTTTCACCTCATCAGTGGTAGCTGCGACTCTTTACAATCGAGTGACCTCCGGGTTCTGAGGCCGGGCAAATGGTGGGATAGAGGAAGACTGCTACTAGCTAGCATACATGCCGTCGTTGCTGGGATGACTGCCCCAAGGAAACGCAATTTCCTAGGGCGTTCAGGTTCACAACGGCCACGTTCAGCAGCTTACTGCTGAGCTAGCACGCTAGGTGCTTTGTATAGGGATCGAACAGTAAACCTCTCTTCGAGGCGGATTAGAGGGGGACTGCCCAGTACCGTTGGACTTCAACTCAACCTGGGGGGAGTGAAAGTAGGAAGGTGGACTTGATTCATGAAGCATACCTAGGTAGTCACTGTAGATGAGCGGCGAGGAGGGCGTTGTCAGATAGCGGACAACAATGGATCTGCTCAAACAGAGGGATGCCCGGTTTATCAGAGATTTGATTTGCAACCCGCAGAATAAGAATCACTCGGAAAAAGACGAAATCACCCAGATCTGGTAGGCTAGCTAACCTATGCCCACACAGCACGAGAACCCTTGCTTTTCCCCCTTTGACTCTTGAGAACCAGCATATCCGTGCGTCTATTTCATGATGTGGGCAAACTCCTTGTCTAAACCATCATGCCAGATCAGCAACCACAGCAAAAGAACGAAAGGATGCCTACGTCAGTAGTTACGTAGGCAGGGAGCCATGTAGGATATTCTTACAATCGATGTGCCCATCGCCGTCGCGGTCAGCCAGCTTGACCATCTCGTCGAGCTCGGCGTCGGTCAGGTTCTCGCCCAGCGACTTGAGGACGTTGCGCAGCTCTTCGCTCGAGATGGTGCCGCTGCCGTCCTTGTCAAACACCTTGAAGGCGTTGATGAGCTCCTCTTCGGTGTCCACCTCTCCGACGTCCTTGGACATTAGGGCCAGAAACTCTGAGACAAACACGCGCGTCAGTGAATTCCATGGGAGCTATCCAATTGAAGGGTTCAAGTGGACAGCTGCCCACCCTCAAACGATATAACGCCGTCCTTGTTGAGATCAGCTTCGTTGATGAGGTCCTTGAGTTCCTCGTCGCTGGGATTCAGGCCAAGCTCGCGCATGACCTTGCCGAGCTCGCTAGCGGTGATGTCGCCTGGGGATTGTTCGTGTCAGCATTCGGTGGATTTGGTCAATGAGGGTTGGAAATCATCTCAGTCCTACCAGTGTTATCCTTGTCCTGAATTGCACCACCAGCAGATCCACATTAGTTCAAAGTACATGTAACTTAGGTATCCATACACGTATATGGCCGTGGCCTGCACGGTGGCAGTGTCAAGGTGACGTACAAAGACATCAAAAACCTCCTTGAACTGGCGGACCTGTTCGGCGGACAAGGTGCTGGGTTTCGGGGCCTAGATTGACATAGGGGTTTATCAGTACGGATTTCATGGTTATCTGATCCTCAACGTGGTTCCTGAATCGTGACTTGAATAGTAGCACTGTAGCAGCAACTTGAAATTATGACACGCACCATGGTTCCGGTCCGAGATTCGGGCCCTGTTTTTGAACCTGTTTTGGAGTTGGACTGTCGGAGGTGAATCAAGAGCAAATTGATGTCAAGATCTCGTTCTAGGTTCTGTTTGGTTGTGCCCGACGGGCTGATGAGGGGGAGGGGTTGATATCAAACGCGGCCCAGTGCGAAACACGTGCCGGGCGCACAACGTAAATGATGTTCAAGTGTAACCCTAACCCGACAGTGAACCTGAACCCTGTCAAAGTTGTGCTGGGAATATTCAGGGTCTAGCTGAGTCTCGCCATACACAGTAGACCTGGCTTGTGGAAAATCTCAGGCTGTCATGGTGACACCTTGAGTGTATAGGACAAGTATCGTCAGGTACACCTGCAATCCCTGAATCAAATTATCAGATGAAGATCCCAATGCTCACACAGTTCCCCCCAACCCCCGGCCCCGACTCTCTGACAATGTATGATCTTGGAGTTTTGGAGATCTCTCAGGTATCATCAACCTTTGACTCACTGGGCTGTATGTCTCCGGACAGAGTAAGGTAGATTTGGTCCAGCACGCCAGCTAGAGACGAACCTACATGCAAAACGCCTGGGCTACGTTTAACCTTATTTCCCCTGAGTTTCACTCATGAACAATATGATGTTGCCCACAGCATACCTTACATTGTTTCCAGAATCTCAGTACCTGTAGCTATCTAGACGGAACTGGCAACCTATTCATAGTAATTCCAAGAGCATCCAAGTGTTCTTCTTTCCCGAGTCCAACACATCATCTTCTACATGTACCTACTATGTTCTAACTTCTAGACCAGCTGCCAGCATGATCCGAATTTGAAGTGAGCAAAGACAACACATCCCTTGTCATACCAGTGACGTGCTGCTACCTGCACTGCTCCACCGAGTACATAACAGGTTACCTTTTTTTTGTATACTCACCATCCTAGGCAGATAGTAGACCTGATCGCTGTGATGGCTGCCATTAAAAGATGGGCTGGGCAACGACAAACACCTTTCCTCTCGGAGCAGCTCACGACAACTTTACTCTCCCTTTTACAGTCATCAGTAAGGGCTACTCTTGAATTATGGCTAGTGCATCCAGGACCTACGAAGCCGGTATGTAATACTGCTTTCAAGAGAATCGCCATCTTAGCCTAACACTCCCTAGGCAACACTAAGCCAGACCTCGTTAACTGGGACCTTCAAAGTAAGCACCGTCCATCCCTCCCGTCAGGCAGTCTGGAAGACGAACCATCTAATTTCTGGTGCCCAAGAAAAAAAGCTTTGGCGAGGGAAAGGACATGCACCAACGCATAATGAGATCCGCGCCGTCGCTGAAGCAGGAGTTGTCGAGGGACTCAAGACCCGGTCCCCGAGCGAGCTGATCAGTCTCGTTGCGGCTTCATATAGACACATCAGTTTGAAAGCTGCCCGTGACAAGCGAGACAAGGCTCTCCAGCTGAAACGGGAATACTTCAGCGCCGTCTCGGAGATTCTAGAAGGTGATGACCGGCCGACAAACCTCAAAAGATGTTCCCGGGTCCATATTGTCATGATGTGCTGACATTCTCTTCCATCACAAGAGGCGCTCCGAAAGCAAGTCGAACGTGCCAACCTTGCCCAAGAGGAAGAAGAAGACCTTGATGGTAGGTAGGATAAGCACAACCGGATCTCGAGCTAAGTAAAAACTTAGTAACTGACGTCTAATCTCACAGCAGAGATCAACACAGTTACCCGAGGAATTGAGAAATTGCACTTGAATCCTGAGATCAAAGAGCTCAAGGAGGCCCGCTCTAGTGATGCACCAAAGCCGCCCCGACGGGCCCAACCTGAGAAAGAGGCAAAGGGGAAGCCTTCAAGCCTCCGAGAGCAGAATGAACAGATCCCTCGAGACGCCTGCTTATACGCTCACTTGCACATGCGGCTTACCCAAGCCGTTCAAGCCTTGCCTGACAGTGACGACGAGACGTCCCTTCATGGGCCTGTGGAGCTGGATGGGAGGGAGATAAATGACTGGGTCGAAATAGAAGCTGACGCAGATTTGGATTCTGGTTGGGTTAATGTAGAGGTTAGCTCTGGCAGCTACTACTAGCAGTAGAGGGCTGCTCATCGTTTTATGCTTGATGTTTCTCAACCCCTAGTAGGAAAACAGACGTCGGATTCACTCAGCTACATGCCAGGCGTTTCACTCGGACACTGCAAGACCACATCTCTCTGGCTCCTGAGTCTTTACGAGGCACAGATGGTTCTTTGGTCGTGAGCCTGAGTATCACATTCCCCTTCGCGACGTATTCGAGCTAAGCCTTTATGGTCAGTCATAGTATTGTTTCTATGGATCTATCGGGTTGCGCCCAACGCAGTTCTAGAGCCACCGCTCGAACTAGCATAAGCTGTATTATCCCGAGACTTTTACCTGCGAGAAATGCAGAATTCTCTGCCGTCCGAGTATTACTACTAAACCAGTGTCCCCTTCCCCTGAAAACAATACGGCGTTATTGAGCTGCGCCTGTTCCTTGCCTCTTCGTGAGTCTTACCCCTGAGAAGCCTCTATTTTAGGTGCCTCGTATGTTGCTGCCGGGTCAACGCCAGAGGCCAGCATCTTCTCCGAATTTCATGATTCGGTCATGCAGCTCGCCGCGGCGTATCGCCTCGTAGATGTCGCTTGCCATGGTCCCGAGTGTCCTACCCCGCGCCAACAGTTCCTCGTCCGGTCGCACAACACCATTAGCGCCATCGTCCTGAACGCCGTCCCCGTTGCATGCCCGGGCTCCCTCGGCCTTGCGCAAGAGCAGCGTGGGGTGGTCCTCAAGGCCCCTGTGGAACGGGATCTTCAAATCCTTCCGAACCCAGGCGAACACCACTCTGGATGCGGGGCTGATGTATGTGGCAGCTGTCAGTTGCCCGCGGAAGAATTGTGCGCGGATGTCGTTGTAGCGCTTCTCGAGCATCTCGGCCATCAGCTTCTGATAATCCGGTATCTTTTCCAACCGTAGGTCCCCGACCGTGTCTCGATACTTGGCAATGCACTCCAGCACCGGTCCCAACGACTCGTTCGCAGCCGTCTTGCTCCGATCCCGCAGATCCAGATGTGAAAGCTGATCCCACCTTTGCAGAACCGCCTCCGTCACTTCGGTCACGAACCGCAGAAACTCGTCATACCTCACCAAGTCCTTCACCAGGTCCACGAATGTAAGATCGGCAAGCAAAGACAGGCGAATAACCCGGCTGACCTCTCTCTCAACCGCCCGCCCAAACTCGACGCGTAAACACCGCAAATCCAGCGCCTGGCAAAGAATCCATATGTAGGTAGCCGCCATGAGACTCAAAACCTCGACGGCTTCGGCGGCATAGCGAGCGGCGACGAGGGCCATGGAGTTGACGCTCTGGTTGGCCATCTCGGCGGGCTGCATGCAGGCGCTGACGGGCCCGCGGGCGAGGTAAGCGAGCTCGGCGGCATAGGCAGCCATGTTGACGTCGAAGCCTTTAGCCGTGAAGGAGGCCGAGGGGTCGTCGGCGGCTAGGTTTGGGGGTAGGCCGTGTGAGGTGGTGTTGTTGATCATCTCGCTCGCTTGCGCAAACAGCAGCCGGCCCAGGTTCTGCAGCGCCGCCAGCGTCTTGTCCATGGCCGACGTCAGCGCCATAGCCTGGAAATTGCCGCCGTGGTGGATGGTACTGCCGGCCACGTCGATCAGCGGGTTGTCGGTCGTCGCGTTGAGTTCCGTGGCCACCTGTCTCGTGGCCAGCGCCAGGTCCTCAAGCTGAGGGCCGATCCATTGCGGCGCGGTGCGCAGAGCGTAGCGGTCCTGGGCGAGGCCGATTCGCTTCTGCGCGGTGGCATAGGAGGAGGAATAGGGGCTGAGTTGGGAGCCGGACAGGAACCGGAGAATGTTGGCGGCTGCCTCGGCCTGACCAGCGTGCGGGCGAACCTCCGAGATGAAGGGATCGTAGTTATGCGCTGTGCCGGAGAGCGCCTCGGTGGCCATTGCTGTGAGCAGTTGAACGAGGAGGGCGAGCCGGTTGGCTTCGTGCATCACGAGGCATGCGGCGGCGCAGCTTGGCGCGGTGCCGTTGGTAATGCCGAGGCCTTCCTTGGCTTGGAGTCGCATCGGGGCCAGTTGGTGTATCTTGAGGGCTTCGTTCGCCCGAAGAACCGTCTTTCCGCCCTCAGTTCTGACAAATATGTTGGGGTTGCCCTCGATAACACCGGCAATGTATGAGAGGGTCGACAAATCGCCCGATGCAGAGATGCTGCCTCGCAGCGGCACTACCGGGACCAGATCCCTGGCTAGGAGGTGCATAATTGACTCAATGACCTGGAGTCGCACACCAGAATGCCCTCGGACAAGCGAGTTGCAACGAATCAGCATGGCCGCCTTCACAACTGGACTTGGTAGTGCGTGGCTTCGGAGCAGCGGGTTCTTTGAAGTGATGCCGAGGGAAGAATCGCTAGTCCTGTCGGCTTCAAGTAAAATTCCGACGTTGAGATGCTGGATCGCCGCGCTCTGGAGGCGCTCAAAGTGCTGCGTCCTCGTGTTTGCGCTGCCGCCGAAGCCGGTGTTGACGCCATAGATGACACGGCCGGCTTCGAGCTCTTTTTCAAGAAACTCAACGCTGTCATTGATGAGTTTGTGAAGCTGTTGATCGTCGCTGATATCTGCCGAGACGCCGTGTCTGCGAGGGAGGAGAATCAGCATTGCTGTCCACGTATGAAGGCATGAAGGAGCAGAACCACTTTACTCACAGCGATACAGCAACAACATCAGCGATCGTCAGGTCACGACCGTTGACTGAGACATGGTTCGCGTGAGACCGGAGACGATGTTGCAAGGCAAGCCATTCGGAATATACGGCACATGCATGCGACGCAAACTCCGGATTTCCGAAGTGCTTTTTCTGCTCGTGACAGCTGCTTCCCATGATGGGCGTGAATGGCACACTGAGTGATCAAGCTCGATTCGTGATGGCGGTTTTTCAGGCAGTTGTGCGGTTTCTGGATGCGGTGAGGGCTTGCAGATGGGAACTTGCAGCTTTCTGCAGAAGTTTTCCCCCGTGGCGTTCTGAAATCTCAATCCATGCTGCAGAGTGCAGGCTTTAACCGTTGAAATTTTCAGCCATTGGCCACGAGGACTCTCAACTGGGCTTGCACCTGCATCATTCTGTTGAACGACTCGAGATGGAAACAACGATATGCCTTAATGGGATTCGATCCCGATTCCTTCCGGTCACGCGAACCAGGGACTTACCCATCGACCCTTCCATTTTTCGTCGTGCCCAACTGGCAACTGCCTCTACGCAGCTGCCCGTAGTATCTTGACTACGTCAACAGGCCCGAGGCGTCGCCGAGCGCGTTCTGAGTGGTCACTGGTGGTGTTTTCGTCTTTCACCGGCGTTGCCAAGATCGGCGGAAAGCACGGCGGTGGGATGTTCATCTCCACCAAGCTTCGAGCGCCGGATGTGTTGACTGAACTTGTCCGGCTTTCAGTTTGGAGTTTGGACATGCTTGAAAGACGTCCAGGGATACTGTCAACGTCTTTCGCGGCTTCCCTTCAAAACTGAAGCCCACCAAAGAAGGAAAGTCCAACCCGGCCTGACTGCTTCGCGCCAGTATAAACCCCCCCCCTCCCCTCCCCCCCTCGGGAAGTTCAGATCTCAATGCCCATGCTCTTCATTTCAATACCCCAACATCATTGCTTGGACGTTTGTCGCTGGGACGGTGGATCCTATCGCATCGCATGGTACGGCGTCATCGCCGTCGTGACTTCCAGACTTCCCGAGTCCAGACCATCAGACCGGAGAAGGAATGATTCTTCTCTTTAACACCTCAAGCTGCGGCCCCTAAGGCGTTTTGTGACTCTTGCACTTTGTCGCAGGAACTGGAATGGAGCCACGTCAAGATCGGTCCGAGGGGAAACTATTGAAAATCCGCTATACTCACGCAATGGAGGCTGGAAGCGCCTGCCAACGTTAACTCATGTCTCGGCACTCTTGTTTATGCGACTTACCTACATAGGGATATCGAGGTAACCGAGCCTTTTATATCCAACACCAGGCTCTACTTAGATATGCTGCCTCAGAGGCCAGACTCACAGTCCTCTCATTTCAGTTGAAACCATACTTGCACGCAGTCATTTATAGCCGAGTGGGGTAGTTGTTACAGCCATTCTCCAGTCCAACCGTGCCGACCCCAGACCGGGAAATGATTCCGGGGTAAAGGCTCTCATCCCTTATTTGGGGCCACTCTCCCGCAACGATCGCTTAGCCCTAGGGCAACGCGTGTCCGAGGTTATGGGCGGCGAGTTTATCCGCAAATGAGGTGTGCCAACAACCTCGGCTCTGCCCGCAACTCAATGAATACATCATGACAGTCAATTGCAAGTACCAACATGGGCAAGGTTCAACCTCCCTTCTGTGACGTATCCGCATCACTGACCGCGACTAGTCCTGTGCTGCTCTCCCTCCGAGATGCGACCCCGGACGGTGTAGTATAAGTCCGCCAATCACCCGGCGAAGCTCTTTGGTGCTCTCCACACGGAGGTGTTCATTGCTGAAGAGAGCAGATGCCGAGTTTATAATAACTCGATAGAGCCACCAAGCAAATCAGAATTCACTTCCAGGGGTCCCAAGCCTCTCTCCCTCAGTCGCCGTTTATCCTCGAGCAAGCACGTGGTATCGCCGAGTCAAACTACCCGAGACAAGCACATAAAACGAAATGAAGCTTCTCACCGCGCTAACCGCCCTCCTCAGTACGGCCCTCGCGGCAAGCCGAACCAGTCCTCCCGCAGGGTGCCTGACCGTGTCCAAGTCCGGCGGCGGGGGACAGTACACGACGATCCAGGCGGCGGTGAACGCGCTGTCGACGACGTCGACGGCGGCGCAGTGCGTCTTCATCTACCCGGGCGTGTACACGGAGCAGGTGCTTGTGCCCGCGCGCCAGGCGCAGCTGAGCGTGTACGGGTCGACGGCCGATACGAGCTCGTACGCGGCCAACCGCGTCACCATCACGGGCAGCAAGTCTCAGGCCGACGGCCTGACCAACGACGAGACGGCTACCCTGCGCGTCAAGGCCGCGGGGTTTCGCCTCTACAACGTCAACGTCGCGAATACCTATGGCAAGGGCAGCCAGGCTGTGGCCGTCAGCGCCCAGGCTGAGAGCGGGTACTACGGTTGTGCGCTCACCGGCTACCGTACGTGATGGGTTTCTGACTTAAAGTGGTACTGAAGCGCGAAGAAAACTGACGCTGTATATAGAGGACACGCTGCTAGCAAACACCGGGGCCCAGGTGTATTCGAAGTGTCTGATTCAGGGCGCAACCGACTTTATCTTTGGCCGGGATGCCCCTGCGTGGTTTGAGAAGTGTAAGCAGAACCTGCATCGCCTACCGATCTCGAATTCTCAAGGCGCTCTTCAGATCGAGCTAACTGAGGTTCAGGCGATATCAGGGTTGTGGCCGCGTCCCTGGGTTACATTACAGGTAGGAACTGAAGCCACCCCTATCTTCATTCAAGCGCATCAAGGAAAAAGGGGGATAGAGATGGCAAAGAAGGACCTACAGTTGATAAGCCATGCACTGACACTTCCATTCGTCCCACAGCGTCCGGTCGACAGTCCTCTTCGAGCCCAGGCTACTACGTGTTCAACAACTGCAACGTCGCCGCGGCCTCGGGCAACACGGTGCCCAAGGGCGCGTACTACCTGGGGAGGCCATGGGCCGAGTACGCGCGGGTGGTGTTCCAAAAGACCTCCATGAGCGAGGTCATCAACTCGGCCGGGTGGAGGATCTGGAACTCGGGCGACGAGCGCACGGGACACGTCCTGTTTGGCGAGTACGGCAATACGGGCACCGGAGCCGCGGGCACTCGGGCTTCCTTCTCGACCAAGCTGAGCTCGGCCGTCACCATGTCGTCAGTCCTAGGCAGCAATTATCAGAGCGCCAAGTACTTTGACGCCAGTTACCTGCCATGAGCTGCTGCAAGACGGTCCGTCCGAGGATTTAACGCTATCGTCTCGCCGGCATACTGGGGGGTAGCGTAACTAATCGTGATCTATCGTGCGTTAGGGAATGAAGTCACTTAGTTGTCGAAGCGCTGTGCCTGAGCTGCCTCCTGCTGATTGGCCGTATAAGACGTAGTGGTCTGGGCTTACCTACTTGCTGGTTTCCTGATGTCTACTGTCTGGTGGATTACTTCGTACGTATGATAGTGGAAGCTTTGGGAGGAATTGGAGCAGGCAACTCTGTACCCTTCCTCGGTCGCAACATGATGTTGCAGTAACCTGAGACACCGGCGGCTGAGGCTTGGCAAGCCGGTGCTGGTCCGGATGTCCGGCTCAGAACGGGGTGGGGCAAACCCCCTGAACCGAACTTGAAAGTTTGGCCGGATTGGTCCGCCAATGGAATTACGGGTTGTTACTTGTTAGCGGCCCGGGACTGTTTGTCGGGACTTCCCCTTAGCCAAGAGTTTGATCCCGTCCCGCGTCCGTGACAGCTGGCGCCCTCGGTGCCGCACTTGGTGCCGCGCGGGTGAAGCAACCTCGGGCCCTGTCCCGACTCCCGAGTTCGTGTGGCCGCTTGCTGTCAGGTGTGGTTACGTGATTTACAATCACTGCTTGACAGGTTGACCGCTGGACAATGGATATGCTGGTTGAACTTGAGTTGGGCCCAAAGATGATTGTTGGCTCCGTGGTGTGTGTTGTACAATTTCTATATCAGTTGTCTGGGTGCGTGTCCTTGTCATTTGTTACCTTCCCCGAGCCTCGGGAGCATCGGCCGCTTCCAGAACGCCAGCAACGTGAAGATTGTGGGGATCCACGTGGCGTATCGATCGGCGCATGGTGCCAGATTCTCGGGATCGTATGTTGATGGGGCCCCAAGAGAGAGCATGCTGGAGTATTCTACTTACTACACCACATAATATCCAAGCCCGGTCCAGTATTCGTGGCTCCTTGTTGATCCAACGCAGGAACACCCGCTTCCACATCCTACCTTACCTACTACCTAACGAGGCCATGGCCATAGGGCGTATGCATGTCGATGCCGGCACACAAGCCCAATCCTTGCCCTGATTCACAACTTAAACTTTCTGTGGCGCTCCACGATTCAAGTTGCACAATTGGATAGGATCAAGGGGTTTCAGATAGTCAAATCGGGTGGCCTACCGAGCCATCCCTCACTCTGCAATGGAGCCGCCGCGTTCCCGTTGCTATAAGCTGGTACAGCTCGACCCGAACGCGAGACTGTCGGATCTGCTCCGTTGAGGCAGCGTCAGTTTCCGTGGGTTCGGCAGAGACCCCGATCCCGGACTGGGCTGGTTCTAGAACGGCGGTGGGTCGGAGGTAAGAATCAAAGCACAAGAGGCAACATTTAAAATCAGTGAATTCAAATTATTGGGAAAAGCTGATCATGTGCATATAAAGCAAGCCCTCGGCACTGGGTTCCCCTGCCTACTACATGGTAGGCACTTATATGTAGCCAAGTGACTCGGGAATGCTTCAGTTGCTTAGGTTGTAGCCCCTTGCTGTCTAGCAACGCAAAATGAAGGCAGGAAAATGAAAGTAGAAGTTGCCGGAAATGTTAGATTCTCAGAGCTGCTCTCGAATGCTATGACATGCGGAAAACAAGCAAGCTAGTGTTACCTAAGGTACCTTATCTACCTTACTTAGGTACCTACATAAGGTACCTTACCTTACTTACCTGACTTTGGTGGGCAGAAAGGTAGGTACCCAGGTAATGCCGGTTCCTACGATTAGACAACGTCCCTTGAACATGAAGGAGAATCTACCTTACACAAGAGAGTGCGAGCATCGGACTTCAGCTCGGGTGTAATGGAGGGAGAGCATTCGGTTCTGCGATTGCGGGTGTGGATAAGGGGGAAAGCCTGTGATTCATCACCTTAATGTCCGGCAGTGCATGTGGCTTGTGCTGCTTGGCTCCGAGAAGAGCGCCTCGGCGCCAGTTCATCTTGGTGGGTTACCACCAAATGCACCGATGGAGATCTGCCGTCGGCCCGCTCTTCTTGTCTATCAGTTTATGCCTTCGTCAGGCCCGATGCTGCGGGAATTTGGAAATGATTCTGCAGGGCACAAATCCAGCAGCAATCTGCAACTGCAAATCCCCGATATTTTCGCAGGGGGCTGGTGCTGGAGCCAGCACATGCCAGCGATACGCCAAGCGCTACACGTATGTACATACTGTAGACTAGGCGCGCAGCCGCAATAATTGTCCGCCGGAAAAGCACGCAGCCCGGCATTCCTCCAACGTGGTCCGATGACCGAGGAGGTCTCTCTGATAACGCAGACGGACCACAAGTCTCGGCTTGCTGCAGCTAATATATAATAAGCTTCAACTCGAGACTTGTCCGGCCGTCTCAGCCATGTTAGACCAGCGTCCTGTTCTCCACAAACACCCACGGGATCCCGCTCGTCGTTCGCCGCTGGCCGTCCTGGAATGAGATTAACTGACCTCTTCCGCCTCCTCGTCTGCCGCTTCGAATCTTCCAAGGGAAACTCTGAAGCACAGCAGCACGAGGTCAAAAAGCCCCTTGAATCGTCTCCTTCTTCAGGCACGACTCTCCCGCAAACTGCGACCACGCTCACCACCACCAAAATGCCTGGCCTCACCGCATCCGGTACCAGCAAATACGATGCGATCCCGGGTCCCCTCGGCCTGGCGTCTGCGTCGCTGGAAGGAAAGGTCGCTCTCGTAACAGGAGCTGGTATGTGCACAAATTGCATCGATTTTTTTTCTGGGTGTTGTTTTTCTCGGTCCGCCGGAACTGCCGGCCGGCCCGGCACCGATTTACCCCACCTGATGTCCGAATGGTTCTCCATCTCGGCGCCCCACACTTTGCTACCCCACAAGATCTGTTTCCAGATTTGGAAACCCCGTAGCGCCGCCGGGACCGGGACAAACGGGGTCAATTGATGATTCGGATTGGGCATACAGCTAACCTTTGGTCCACAGGCCGCGGTATCGGCAGGGAAATGGCGCTGGAACTGGGACGCCGGGGAGCCAAGGTGATTGTAAACTACGCCAACAGCGACTCGGCGGCGCAGGAGGTGGTCAACCTGATCAAGAAGAACGGGTCCGACGCGGCGTGCGTCAAGGCCAACGTGGCCAATGTCGACGAGATTGTGCGCATGTTTAACGAGGCCAAGGAAAAGTTCGGCAAGCTCGACATTGTGTGCTCAAACAGCGGCGTCGTCTCCTTCGGCCACATCAAGGATGTGACTCCCGAGGAGTTTGACCGTGTCTTCAACATCAACACGCGCGGCCAGTTCTTCGTGGCCCGCGAGGCCTACAAGAACCTCGAGGTTGGCGGCCGCCTCATCCTCATGGGCTCCATCACGGGCCAGGCCAAGGGCGTCCCCAAGCACACCGTCTACTCAGGCAGCAAGGGCGCCATCGAGACCTTTGTCCGCTGCATGGCTATTGGTGCGTTGGATGAAACAAGACGCTTCCACCCCTTTCATGCTAACACATGCTAGACTTTGGCGACAAGAAGATCACGGTCAATGCCATCGCCCCCGGCGGCATCAAGACCGACATGTACCACGCCGTCTGCAGGGAGTACATCCCCAACGGCGACAAGCTGGACAACGAGGGTGTTGACGAGGTATGCTGCCTCTCTGGTTAGCCCACCATCTCATCGTACTAACTGTTGTTGCAGTACGCGGCAGGCTGGTCTCCGCTCCACCGTGTTGGTCTCCCGATCGACATCGCCCGTGTTGTCTGCTTCCTGGCGTCCCAGGACGGCGAGTGGGTCAACGGCAAGGTCATTGGCATTGACGGCGCTGCTTGCATGTAAACTTGACTTAGACAGCATCTGCTTTAATTTGACGAGTATACTTTGTCTTGAAGGGTATAAACTATAATGGCCACACCTTTACGAACGAGGAGTCAAGGACCCCAAATAGTCAAGTTACGCGACATGACTCCTCAATCATCATCCAATATTGTTACATCATTATATGCAGACGGACCAATGCAGCTATTAACTGTATCCGCTCACTTGCTCCTTTTTTTTCCCTATCATCAATCATACAACCCTCTTCTACTATTCAGCAATTGCCACCATTCAGCCTGACAATATTGAGGACGGTTGCCACCAATGCCACGGCAAACCCTCACAATCACATCCGTCTCTCTCCGAGTCCCGTCCCCTCCCCTCGGGCCCTCGGCATCCGGCACCCGACGGCCGGACAATGCTGATAACACCGAGGGCCATATTTGAGTTTTCCCGCAAAGACATCTCTCCGCATTTGAGGGTTGACACACTAGACAATCCGTGGGTCAGTGTGACGCGTTCTCCTTTTTGGCCAGGCCACTGCACCAGTGCACCATTGGCAGCTTTCCCGGCTGTTCCGAGAACACCCTACTCTAGAGCGTTACAGGTTGTGCTTTAAAAGACGGTAAACGTATTGACTAGTACTCGGACCCTGAACCGACATGCACTTGAATCTGGGTGAGTTAGGTAATATATCGCTCATTGGCACCGTGTATGGTGGTTTGGTGCTCGGCCAAGTCGGTATAACTCCAGTCCGGTTGGTTGCATCTGGGCTACCGATGTGCTGGAACGGCGGAAACCTGGAAAGAGCAGGCAGCGGTTAGTGTACAGTACACTACCTATACAGCACATACATACGTGACAGCCTTGTAGGGCTGTGGATAGCCATGGTTGACGATGTCACTGTTCACAGCGTCCAATGGCATTCAAAACAGGCCCGCCTACTTGAATGATAGCTGACAAGTGAGAATCTTCTTGACTTCCACGCAGTCCCCAAAATCCTACCTTTTGCTACATACATGTAGGTGCCCTAGATACCACCTTCCTCAACAGAGCTACCAAGACTCGTAGAACCCAACCACGAACGAGCCAACTGTGACAACTCGTCCTGCCAGTAGCCAATCCAAATCTTGATTTGTCCGGGTTCCATCAGAGTCTGGTAACAGTCGCCTTTCCATCACACCCGACGTCGAAAGAACCTTCAACCCGGAGAAAGCTCAGCCCTAAAACCCTGCCTACATTACACTCAAATCGTTACACAGAAACCCGAATGGATATCTCATGACCATCTAGCAAGAGGATACGCTACTGCGCCGAGACAAACATGAACAAACCGCGATGAGGGTCCGGCGAGAACATTGGATACATGCTGTGCAACACTCCGATCATTTCATATTGAGAAGCAGCATCTTGATGAATTGCTTACTATCCAGGCTAGGACTTGTACATTCGGCTTGCCTAGAAGCGTGTTGACTACATGTATGCAGACAAACTTGCTCTCTCACCTGCGTCCTGGGCATGTATGCGACCTCGTACGAATGCAATCCATCCATCTGTTCATGGATGATGACGATGATTGTCTACTACCTACTCATACTCTGTTCGGGGAAAATTCATCCCATTCTTACCATCACCATCATGATGTCGCTGAAGGCCAGACGATTCACCCGCCCTTCCCGAGAACGACGAAGCGAGGAGAGCAACTGGAAGGGCGCACATAACGCCAGGCTTGAAGTACACCGGCTTCAGGTTGAGTACTCCTTGACGGACATATAAGGAAGGAACACGTCCACCTCGAGTATGTGTTTGAGTCTCATATCCATCAAGACGAGTCAAGCAGAAAAGACCAAACCAGACATCAGTACTCAACCCAACTGCGAATATGCGCCTCATGAAGCTTGTCCTTGCCTTTGCGGCCCTCGCCGCTGCGCTGCCTTCCGAGAACGTAAAGGAAAATGGCTTCGAAGTGAAACTTCGCGAGCCCGAGCCTGGCCCTAAGCCTGAGCCTCACAAAGATGACGTGCCCATTCTCGATGCCAGAATCGACGCCCATGAGAAGGAGGGCCGCACCGTCAACCTCTCGCCGCGCAACAACCGCGAGGGTAAGTCGCCGATCACCACCAACACCAATACCATGGTCCCTTGTCCAACCCCAGCTTGAATCTATTATCTCTCCACACCCCTGGCCTTTGGCTGTGCGTCTGACTTTCATAACACTTCCTCCTGTTCAGGTCTCCTCCCTCGTCAGTGCAATTCCCATAGCACCTGCCCCTGCGACAGCCGCGCGCGGGGCCTCTGGTGCGGCTACTGCACCAGTCCCTTGGACGCCATATACGAATGCCGGAGCGGCGATTGTCTGAACTGGGTCTACCAGTGCGGTGCTGGGGGTGCCTGCTGCACCTACGGCTACCGTATTAGCTGTGCTAACCGCCAGGGACCCTGCGGTTCCTAAGGTTCAGGTTCTTTCGGGAATGGGATGGATATGGGTTGTGAGGATGGATGGATCTATGCCTGCCCAGCCCTGGTACTACCAAGCTCAGGTCTGATGATGCCGTACAGTACATGTACACCGGGTCAATGGGGCAGGTTTTACCCCGCTTGGCTTTCTCATGTCTTGCTTTTCCAGTCACTCTTTGAGTTTGTTGGAAACGATGCTGTGGATGGCCAGAGACAGGGGCATGCTTATTGTCTCACAGTCTCTACCTACACACTCGCACACAAGTGATGAAGGGACATGGTGGTGATTGACTTCGTAACACTCTTTGAAAAATCCTGTTAGCTCATAATAGCCACTAAAGTGCCGCCTCAATAGCACAAGCAAAAGGCTGCCCAACATACTATCCCACCCATTGAATCAGTCAGGTGATTTGCTTGCTACACCTTCAGAGATGCTTGGTGACGACCATTTTCCCATATTGCCCACTGTCCTAATTGCCATTCCTACCTTCAATTACCTACATGCCACCCAAAGGTGGTACAACGATCCCAATTGATGATCATGGTTACTTTGGATGCTGACTGCATACATGTATATGCACAATACATACTTCTGTCTTTAGCCACACACCACATGTAGAGGATCATGGAACACGAATAACAGCCTCGCGTTTGGCTGTCGTATCTGTGGTAAGTCTTGGCCCTTTCTAACTCATAGTAAGATCGGGCAGATTAAGCAGGCTGGTGTTGTACGCGTCCAGCATATGGCCATCTGATTCATGATCAAGGTACCTAAGTTTGTGTAACCGACCGAAGGAGTACGCGGAGAGGACCCAGGTGTACGTCAAGGACGTTGAGCAAACACTAGTCTAGTAATCTCAAGTGGTCTGCCAATCCGAAGAGCAGGAGAGAGAACTGCAGCTGCACCATCAGGGCCCTTGATGACTTGACTGGATCCAATATGATCATGCACCCTGGAAAATGAGTGTTTCTGAAAGGACTTAGAATCACAGCAGGGACTCTAGGTACATGGCAATATTACAGCTAACTTGAACTGAAAGGTCACTGAGAATCCCAAGTCCAGTTACCGGCCCGTAGGCGCAAGAGTTCCGGCGCGTTCGTCTGGCCCTCGGTGCTCAGGGGCAAATCCATTCTCGTCCCTACCTACTCTCGTTAGGCTTGAACCTCTGATCTACCTACCTTAGGTGTAGTGGAGCACTTGTACTTGCTTCAAGTGAAGCCCAACTTGAAACAAGCTAGACATAACCGAGTTTTCCTCGTCTTCGATGTCGTCTGAGAATGAAACAGACAGCTCGGATTCCATCGATGCACACTCCATACACATCTCAATGTACAGGCAACCTAGAAAACTATCTCATATGATTCCATCGGCAGCACTAGTATCAAGGAACTGGGCACGAGTTTCCTCTCTGCGCAGGGCATTCTTGTGAGCGGCTAAATACCAGCTCTCCACCCGGAACTTAGATCGCCTTGCCCGTAGCCACCCCCTATTTACCCAGCAGCCCTTCAGCTTTATCTCCTCCACTTTCATGCCTGCTTGGCACCGGCTACCCCAGATTTTGGCACCATTTTTTCATTATCGGCTGGCCCTTCGTGGACCGTCGTTTAATATCGCCTCCTAGCCGCGGGTTTTGACTCCAGTCTGCTCCCCACATGACCTGGTAAAATCGGCGGAACGGAGACGCAGGGGTCATGGCATATATGAAGAGCAGGCGTGAAGAACTGCCGCTGTTTTTGTAGACTCTGATGGTATCAGGAGCCCGGTGGTAGATCAGTTGCAACCAAGATGCTCGCAAACAATCTTGCCGCCGGCGTAGTGCTGCTGGTTTCGAGCGCCGCGGCGCTCCCAACCATGAGCCCGCTCGAGTACGTCAAGCGGGCTGTGAGCCCAGGCGTGATCATTCAAAAATGCACCAACCCCGGGATGCTCGCTCTCGCGTACGACGACGGTCCCTACACGTACACGTCGCAGCTTGTCGACATCCTCGACAAGGGGGGTGCCAAAGGCACCTTCTTCTGGACGGGCACTCTGTACGGATGCATCTACAACCAGGCCAACGCCGTCAAGAAGGCTTTTGCCTCGGGCCATCAGGTGGCATCGCACTCATGGTGGGCAGTTCCAACTTCACCGCCGTCCGCGCTCCTAACAGATGGGCCGCCACTTACACGAGAGATGAATGCAGGTCCCACCAGCGCATGGGGAGCATGAACGCCAACCAGATTCGCACCGAGATGACGCGGGTCGAGGATGCGCTCGTCAACCTGGTGGGCGTCAAGCCGGCGTACATGCGGCCCCCCTACCTGGACACGGGCGGCCAGTTCCTGTCGACCATGAAGTCGATGAACTACAAGGTCATCACCAACGACATTGACTCGGGCGACTGGAACAACCGCTCTCCGCAGCAGAGCCAGCAGGAGTTTCAGCGGGCCGGTGCCGGCGGCATGGGCCACATCCCGCTGATGCACGAGGTCTACCCGGGAACCGTCAACACGCTGACGCCGTGGTTGATCAACTGGGCTAAGCAGAATAACCTGAAGCTGGTTACTGTTGGTGAGCTTGTCCTGGCTTCAGGCCTTACCCCGTAGCAGACTTGACTAACGGAGCATTACCTATACAGCGGAGTGCTTAGGCGACGCCCAAGGCATGTACCAGCCCGGAAACTTCACACCGACCACCGGTCCATTCAGGTGCTAGATGGAGTCACGCCAAAGCAGCCGACTGAGCATGAGTTGGTAGTGGTGTGCGTAAGGCAGCTTCACGTTAGCAGACGTCGTGGAATCAATACTGTCGTGGTCCAGAACGTAAAACGTCCTTGGCAAGCTGAGTGTGCTCCAACTATACCCGTGGTAGTATCCTAGTTGGGAGGATGCAAAAAAGGAAGTTCCCGATTCGAGGCAGAAGAAAAAACGGATGACATGATTCGAAATTGTGGGGGTAAACCCAACAGGCACCCTGAATTTGTAATCCAAGGCAGTCCCAGTACGCGTCATACGCCGAGTGCCTCCAGCGCAGCAAGCAGCACCTCCTCGCACTGATCCCGATATTCGACGGCAAGCTGCTGGTTTCGGTTTTCGGGCAGCAAATCGCTTTCAGCTTCGCATATCTGAGCCTCCTTGAGCCGCTGATAGTCATATTGCAGCTTCCCGCCCAAGGCAGCCTTGATTTTCTGAACCAGCGGTCCAAGCCCGGCCGGCAGCCCACCCTCGCCGCTTGATAGCCAGTCAGTCATTGCTTGCTTGTCGTCCGGCGTCGCGAGCACCGACGAAAGGTCATCCACAAGGGCCGGCTCGAAGTGGCCGAAGTCCGGCAAGGCAGAAATCTGGCTCCCGGGAGAGGTCAACAACCTTGCCCGGCCCACCAGGGAGCTGGGGTGCTTCATCGGCCGCAAGGAGATCAGAAAGTCCTTTGGTTTCTCGCCCGGCACGTCTCCGTCCTGCTGCGGCCTCTTCCTGACGTGGACGTAATCATTATGGAGCTGCTCCGTTGCCGGGAGTATGAAGCCGTATCCCAAGAGCAGTTCGCTGTTGGATTTTAGGCCGTAATTGTTGAAGACCTGCTCGCCCGGTTGGTAGGCGTCATGGCACACGAGCCGGCAGCAGTTCGGATCGGAAGCAACGTCCCATGTGTACTTTGCTGTCATTGAGTGATTGGCAATGTCAAACAGAGGTTGCAGGAGGGAAAAGTCATCAAGCTCGCAGCCGGCTGGCAACAGTGTCGTTAGATGCTCCCTGACCGCATGAGAGAGGACGAGTGAGGGCCGGAAACTGCGGCTGGTAAAGATACAAAAGGCCCATTTGTACAGCATTTGGGTGTAGTCTTGCCAGTTTGGGAAATCACCGTCCCGCAGCACTTTTCTTGCTTGCTTGAACTCGCGTTTGACATTTTCTTGGATTTCTTGGATGGCGATGTGGGCGTTTGTTCCCTCGAGGAAGTCAATGTCATCCTCGGGCCAGAACGGCGGTAGTGCCCAGGCGGTCAAGTGCTCAGGCTGTGGCAGTGTAGCGATGTAGGGCCACCAAAAAGAGCTCTTGCCCCGGAGGTACTCCTTGATCAAGAAGAAGCGGCCAATGACATGTGGAGGGATTGAGGACATGAATCGGGGCGGGAATGCGGCAGTTTGTTCGGACAAGGATGAGGAAAGGCCGACGGGGCCTCCAATCAGAGCGTTCAGGAATGAGAGGGTTGTGGTTACGGGGCAAGTAACAGCCGTGAAGCCAGGTTCAAGTCCATCGCCGAAGGATTCCTTGACGCGAAGTGAGAATTTGGTGACATTGTCTTGATAAATCTCTAGGGATGGATGCAGTGCAGCGCCGTGGGCCTGAGACCAGCCTACCAGCGTGTGAAAGCGTTGTTGGTCGGATTCTTTCATGATAGGCTCGTGTTGATGAACTCAAGGAAACATGGCGGGGATGAGCGAGATTGAATCGGAAAATTTGTTTTGGGAGGAGGATGAGTCAGCGACTGCCCCTGCCGATCTCGAGCTCAAGGTTGATTGTAGGAAGGAACAAAGGACTGGATGGACTTTGTGCTCATACTGCAGCAGTGCATGGATTCGGATCACCAAACACATCATCCTCCAACCACATTTCAGATCCTCTTCTACAACAACGTTTTTCCAAAACTTCGCCTTGGTTCCTCCGCGCGACACTGCCGTCTTGGCGGTATCGGCCCCGGACCCACATGGACCTAGCAACTGACCCGCAACCGGCGCCTGCCGATCCGAGTTGCCGGGAATAACAGAACGCGGTGTTCGAAAATCTTGCAACCGGTTCCAACCAATGTTGTTGGCGTCATCCCGCTTAATAAGAGATCAGGAATTCTTTTGGCCTTAGCAAAAGCAGATCTTAGCGCAGTTCTTAAACGTCCGAGTCTGCAGCCCTCCCGAAGTGCCGTCGCCGGACTAAAGGTCCTGTGGACAGTTATAGTGTGAATTATGACGTCTTGACAGAGCGGCCTCGATGCAACGGTGGTAGTTAGACCACAAAATCGTCTCCACAACAACGAGCAACATAAAAGAAGACTGACCCCCAAACGTTGCAGCCACCAACATGCCAGGGGCCCATGAGCGTCCAACTATCCTTTCAGAATGGCGGAAGAGAAGGATCCCGCACAAACCGGGACAGCCCCCGATAGCCTCCCACACGCCGTCCATTCGCATAGCAGCAGCAGTCAGGCCTCGGAAGGAGGAAACCTTGACTCGACATCAAACGACGGCACCTCTGCCGACACCGACGTCGACTCCGAGTATGATGGCCACCGCCCCACGCGCTCCGAGATAATACGCCGAACACGAACCCAGAGCCGGCGCCGGACAAGCAGCAGCGCAACCACCACCCGAACCACGACCGACTCAGATTCCCTCGCCCGGCCCCTCTCACGGCGCTCAACCATTATCCTCTCCACCCTCCGCTCGCGGCCAACCGCCGGTGGTGGTGGTGGCTCTGGTGGTGGGCCGTACACCTTCACCCACCCACTCTCGCACGTGCAGACGACTCCCGACCAGCTCGTGGACTTCGACTCTCCGTCAGACCCGTACAAACCCATCAACTGGCCGCTGCGGGAAAAGGTGATCACGACGCTGCTGTACGGGCTGGTGACCATGTCAGCGACGTGGGCGTCGTCGTGCTACTCCCCCGGGACGGCGCAGATCGCGGCCGAGTTCGCCGTCTCGCCCCAGGTCGCCATCCTCGGCACCTCGCTGTACATGGCCGGCTTCGGCATCGGTCCGCTGCTCTGGGCGCCCCTGAGCGAAGTCTATGGTCGCCGCCTGGCTGTTTTTGCTCCTATGTTCGTGGCTATCTGCTTCAGTTTTGGTAGCGCCACGGCAAAGGATTTCCAGACGCTCATGCTCACGCGGTTTTTTGGCGCGCTGTTTGCCAGCGCCCCCGTTACCAACACGGGAGGTGTGCTGGGGGATCTGTACGGTCCCGCCCAGAGGGGCATTGCCATGGCCGGGTATGCCATGGCTGTGGTGGGTGGGCCGGCGTTGGGTAGGCTTCGTTATCTTTTGCTTCCTGTTCTGAGTGATGCCGTTTCTGACGATCATGGTGGCATAGGGCCGATTGTTTCTGCTGCTCTGGTGGCCGCGCCGGGACTCGGCTGGCGGTGGACCGAGTATGTTGCGGGTATGCTGCAGGGCGGTGTGCTTACCCTCGCTGTGGCTCTGATCGACGAGACGTATCCGCCCAAACTGCTCGTCTACAAGGCCCGTCGTTTGCGCGTTGAAACCGGCAACTGGGCTCTCCACGCCAAGTTTGAGGAGTGGGATGTGAGTGTCGCTGAGCTGGCGCGCAAGTTTCTTGTCCGCCCCGTGCAGATGCTCTGCACCCCGATCTGCTTCCTCGTCGCCCTGTATGCAAGCTTTTGCTATGGCATTTTGTACATGCAGCTTGGTTCGATTCCAATCATATTCGGCGAGGTGCGGGGATGGGATGACGTGAAGGCTACTCTGCCCTTCCTGTGCATCTTTATCGGTGCTATCCTCGGTTGTGGTTTAAACGTGTATAACCAGCTGCTCTACAATCAGGTCTACCGCGCCGCAGGACGGAGAGCCGTCCCCGAAAGGCGGCTTCCACCGATGATGATCGGTTCGGTTCTGTTTGCTGGTGGCCAGTTTTTGTGCGGTTGGACTGCAAAGCCGGATATTCACTGGGTCGTACCCTGTCTAGGGCTGGTCATGCTCGGCTGTGGGTTCTTTACTATCTTTCAGGCCGCCTTGAATTATCTGGTCGACACCTTCACCTCGTACGCCGCCTCGGCCGTGGCCGCCAACACCTTCCTGAGGTCGTGCTTTGCCTGCGCGTTCCCGCTCGTGGTTGGACCTATGTATCACAATCTCGGGGTCGGGCCAGGCTCGTCGATCCCCGCAGGGTTTGCGTCGCTTTTGATCCCGGTGCCATTTGTGTTTTTCAAGTATGGGAAGAGGATTAGGGCAAGGTCCAAGTGGTCAAAAGCGTCGGTGCACGAGGGCGTCAAGGGGAAACGTGGTACTTAAACGGCTCATCTATACTGTTCTGGTATTTATCATGGCGAGTCAAGCATAATGATCATTGGCCATCGCTATATGCTATTAGGTACACGCCTGTCGAACATTGTTGCCGGCACGTATATCTGATACAGCTTGCAGGTTTATGGTGGCTACCGCCGATGGGAAGGAAGTGGAAGCCTTCAGGTTGCGTGTCAAATCGACAGGCCGCGAAGTCATCCACAGGAAGAGGACAGGAAGAGGACATGAAGCATCGGTCTATAAGGTACGTAACCCATATTGAACAAGTATAAAAGTGTATGGACTTCTAGGTTTTTCTGCCATGGGCCAGGTACATCCATTTAACTTTCCGAACACTCCAGATCGAGCATCGCACCGCACGCAGCGTGGCTGTTCAGAAGCATTCTTATACTATACCCCCTATATTAACTCAGGTATACGAGCACTCGGCTCCAACCTCAACATTACATTCACCTTTTCATCAACGAACGGACTAGCTATGGCCCCTCGATACAGCAAAGCCGTGGTCGTCGAGACCTTGAAGCAAATCAGGAATGATTTCAACCGCCTTCTCCACCGGCGCGGCGTCAGGAATTGTGCAGACCTCGAACGGGTGGTGCGACGCATGCGGAACCAAGTGGCCCGGGAACTCGAAAGGGAACGAGATCATCCAGCTGATGGAGACTTCAACCCGTGGATCGAGTGGTGCGATAAGCCAAGCAGGCGGTGGGCTAGAATTGGGAGCCTACTTCATCAGGGGGTAGACCCGCAGACCATTGCGGACGCCTACCTGTAGACGAGTTCAGGGCATCACTTTATCATTTGCCAGATTTTGTGTCGGGAATCCGGGTAGGTTAGACCCCAGAGCAGACACCATGTGGCATGTACTCCGTAATGTGTTAGGATTTAGGAGTTCACGACTTCGGGAGGGCATACCGACCCTACAGACTTATTGAGTCCCTAGGTAGATAAAGAACCTGCGTAGTATTCCCCAATGTGCATGCGTTGTAGAGTTTCATATCTCTTTTCAGACGGTATCTCATTGAAGAAGTTTAGCAGTAGGTACGAGGTATCTTCGTCGTCAAATCCAGACGTGGTTCAACGCCTAAAAGTGCTTAGTGGAGCACTGGAGAACTGTGGTGTGGGACTCCGAACCCACCAATGCTTACCTCAGCGACCTGCCCCTATTTCTGCCAGTCCATTGATCGTAGATTTTTACTCCTTTTCAGTAGCTCTTCAATGCACTATGTTTCGCGCAATCTTGTGCCTCCACCTTCCTTCAACCCCTCGGAAGGAACAAATACCTGCAAAGGTCCAGCTAGCGGGCATTTGATGGTCGCTCGGGACAATTAGGGCCCCGGCCCGGGGCATTCTCAACCAATAGGAGCCGAGAGAAGGACGATGATACGCCTCGATGGGTAGTTACAGGCAGTTTTCATCCCCCTTTCAAGGAGACTTTTTTTCTCTATAGAATATGATTCACTAGAAAGACTGGCAAGCGCTGTAACATAGTAGAAAACGGACTAGGAGTATATAATAACAGGCTTCGTACCAGATTTGCAACCTCAACAACCTCAAACTCACCGTCTCCTCGCCAAACGAAGAATCCAGCACAGTCGAACCCGAAGTGCTGGAAGAGCGATAAGAAATGGGCCTTGCCTCAGCCCTTTACAACTCCGTCCGCGGCGGCGTCAGCTTCAACCCAGCAACCGACATCCCTCCGCTTAATGGCAAAGTGATTCTCGTCACCGGGGGCAACAGCGGCCTTGGCAAGAGCGCCATCAAGTACCTCGTGCAGAAATCGCCGGCGTGCATCTGGTTGGCCTCGCGTGACGCATCTCGAGCCCAGGCCGCCATCGACGAGATCGTTTCCCAAGTCCCTTCAGCCAGCACGGTCATCAAGCCCCTGTCCCTTGACCTGGCCTCGTTTGCCTCCATCAAATCCGCGGCCCGGCAGGTCCTGGCCGAGTCCGACCGCCTCGACATCCTGATGCTCAACGCGGGCATCATGGCCACGCCAGCGGACACCACCAAGGAGGGCTACGAAATCCAGTTCGGCACCAACCACGTCGGCCACGCCCTGCTCACCAAGTTGCTCCTCCCTTTACTCCTCAAAACCACCACTCTGCAACAGCAGGAGCAGCAAAAACCGGACGTCCGCGTGGTGGTGGTCTCCTCGGCGGCTCACCGAAATGCCCCCGCATGCGGAATCGTGTTTGACACGCTGCGAACGCCGCAGACGGAGCTATGGGCCTGGGCGCGCTACGGGCAGAGCAAGTTGGCCAACATCCTCTTCGCCAAGGAGCTCGCGCGGCGGTACCCGCACCCGCAGCTGACCGTCGTGGCCGTGCACCCGGGCGTGGTCAACAGCAATCTGGCCGGGCCCTTGTCGGAGCAATACCGCGCCGCGCGGCTGGCCATCGGCGTCGCCGGCCGCATCTTCTTCTCGTCGACCGATGTGGGCGCCAAGAACCAGCTATGGGCGGCGACCGCTCTGGAAGGTGTGCAGAGCGGAGAGTATTACCACCCGGTTGGGGTGACCGGGTGGGCGAGTGACTTGGCTGTGGACGATGGGCTGGCGCGGAAGTTGTGGGATTGGACGGAGAAGGAGTTGGATGGGGAGAGTATTTTAAAATTTTGGATTTTAGAGGAGGTGGGTTGATACCTAAGTTGACATGCTGTGCTGGGGGTTATGTAATCAAGCAGTGAGCGCGCAATGTGCATGCGGTGCTGAATGCCGTTTTGGATTTCTGAGACGAATGCCACAACTACAACTACCTTAGGTAATGCAACTAAAATAACTGAGGAAGCACCGGTTAAATCAGAGAGGTCTTGAAGGGCGAAAAATGGAGGAAAAGGATAGGTATGAACAATGGAAAAAAATAAAGTCCCCTCGACCGGAATCGAGCCGGTGACCTTTCGGTATCAATAAATTCCTTTACAGCCGAACGTGATAGCCAACTACACCACAAGGGGCTTAAATTGTTGCTCTGAAGTAAAAGAACTGGTCCTATGAGCTACCCCTTCCTTGTCGCCGTAACCCGCCTCTATGCTCTGACCATGGTAACTTAACTACGCCATGGACGATGAGAATGCCTAGAACTGCCAAACTTCGAGAATCCCAAGGAGACAGCAAGAATGCATCTACCAGAATGGGGTACAATACCTGATCGAGACGGACCTCTCCGCACTCCCCGAGATACGTTAGCTCAGGGACGGCCTCAGACCCGCCAGACCACGTCCTTCAACCACCTCGCCAGCTCCGCCGTATACGCCTCCGTTTTGCGCACGGCATCCTCAGTAGCGTCCTTCCCACCCACAACCCGTCTGATGTGCGGGTTATCAAACCCGTGCAGCACGTCCGGCACAAGCAGCCACTTGACTCCACCGCCGTCCCACGTCTCCTCAAAAGCGAACCTCTCGTCTTGCAACTCCAACAGCTTCTCCGCTGCAACCTCCTCCCTCCCGCACACCCGCCATCGCACATCCTCGCTCTCCCGACCCGGCACCACCCTTTTACTGCTCCTAGACAACCGACATGCGACCCGCCAACTCTCGTGCGCAAGCATGTCCAGCTCGGCCGCGACGAGCGCCACATAGGGCGGTAAATCCTCCCGCGCGCGAAAATGCGCGGGACTGAGCAGCGGATCACGCAGGTCCTGGCCGTAGGGGATGTAACCCCAATCAAACGCAGGCGCGAGGCCGATCAGGGGGTCAGTTCCGTCGCTGCGCGGGGGCGGGAGGGACGGTTTCCAGGGCCGGTTGCGGGGTTTCTCCTCGGGGGGAACGCTCAGGTCCAGGCAGCCATAGACGCTCACGGCGGCGCGGAGGAGAGGCCGAACTCCGGGCCGCTGGCTGACGGACAGTGCGAGGTTGCCGCCCGCCGAGAACCCCAGCAGAGCGGTCCGGGCGCGGTCGGTCGGCAACGAGTCGTCGGCCAGCGCGGCCAGCAGCAGCGCCTCGACGTCGTGCGGCGCCGTCGGGAAGGGGTAGACAGGTGCTTTCGAGTAGTTCAGGCTTACGACGAGCACATCGTGTGTGTCGGCAAACGCGCGGTTCCACTCGTCGTCCTCGCGGCTCGAGCCGATGCAGAAGCCGCCGCCGTGGATGGTGAAGAGGGTGGGAAGGGTCGCGGGCGAGGTTTGGTCGTACGAAGAGGGGAAGAAGATGCTAATGGAGGGGTTTAGTCTGATTAGTGACAAGTGGGAGGAGCCTGGCGGGCGGCGGCTGTACTCACCGAACGGGAAGTGTTGGCCGGCATTCGTACGTCTTGAGAATGTCCGGACGTGCCTCCGGTGGGGAGAGGTATTCCTTCCACTCACGCAGCCAGTGGAAGGACGCAAGCACGCCCTTGAGGCCGTAGATGTAGCCCGCGAGCGAGATCTTGGAGAAGAGTGTCGGTTCCTGGCGCTTCAGGATGGTCCCTGCGTCCTGCCCGCTCTCGGCAGGGGTATCATCCCCGCGCGGGTCTGTAGTGGTGTTGGCCATTCCAGACCCAAGCGCCTACAGTCTATGCTAGTCTATCCCAGTATAGGGATGGCCAGGCTCAAAGCCAAATGGCAGCGGATGGTCGCTACGACCGGACCTTTGGCGTCGGGCGGTAATAGCGAACTATCTGCGGCAGGCTCTTGTGGTCAGATCAAGCGCTCGGTGGTGTGCAGGTGGAACGATTCGAGTCAGATTCGAACTCACCCTCAAGTAGACTGATACATACAGGAAGATCCAAATGGCATAGAGAGCGCGAGAGAGCATTTTGACAGCTTGCAGCTGCGGTGAGTGAGTCGGAAGCTACCAACGAGGGCGGTTACTTTTTCCCGGAGAAACAGGGTGCTCATTTGGCGGGCCACATACGTTCGTAGTGCCACGAGACCGATGGGGCCCTTCTCATGAAGCCACGTCTGCCGGTTGGGTGATGTGGTCGGGTACTGCCATATCGTGATGAGAAGGGACAGAGCAGCCAATTGCTGCCGATTTTGTGAGGATTGCAATGATGCACAGAGGGCGTAGAAAGTGCGTCCAGATTCAGATCGCGCCTTCCTTCTATGTATGTGCGGGGTTCACTGATTGCATATGCATTGCCAAGCCAACGCCCTTGGGACGGAGAACGCCGCAAGCAATTGAAATGCGGCTTCCCGATCTGGGGTGCCTCTTCGTAGTTCGTGGTGGTGGTCAACCGTGATGGGCTACCTAGGTACCTTCGAGGTGAGATGCGCGGGGACCTTTGTTCGTCGAAATGGTCGGCAACAAGACCTTGGTCGAGCAGTGAGGACAAGTGAAGCAGCTTCTCAGAAGCTCGCGCCAAACACGCCCTCAGACGCTAAACTCCGCTTGACCATGTCGACACTCGACAGAATGCAGCAAACATCAGCAGATATAAACACTAGTAGTAGCCCAACAACTAGAAATACATGCACGATCAGCCGTGCCTCCTCCCCTTCCCAGCCCCTATAAAACAGAACACCATCCCCATCCCACCCGCCAGTTACATTACGGTATCATTCATCTCATCCCATCCCAGAGGTGCCATGCGAGTCATTTCCCCAAGCCAACGCCGGTTGTGGCGTACCCCTCTACTAAACTCCAGCAGCCCTATGCACGATAATCTCCTCCCCGACATCCAGCTCATCCTCATCTGGATCTTCGATGCTAGTCCTCCTCTTTGCCTCCACAGCCCGATCGATTCTGCTGCCGTCTTCGCTGATCATGGCATCCTCCTCTTCCTTGCCAAGCTCCACCGGCTCCTCAGTAATCTCGACGGCCCCCGTCGCCGACCCCGCGGGACCTGCCCCAGCCTCATCCTCTCCTTTTCCTTTGGAGCCTCCAAACCCAGGGCTCGAGAATGGCCAAAGACCACTGAACGGACTCACACTGCTCTTGAGCGAGCCAGTAGGGGGGTGCACGGCGAGGGGCTTGACTAGTATCCTCTCCCTCGCGGGATCGATGCCGGACACAAACCCTCCCGTGGCGGGGGCGGAAGGGGCAGCAGATACCGCTTCGGGCATGGCAAAATCACCAAACTCCTCATCTTCCATATCGTCGTCATCTCCGCCACGCCCCCTACCATCGTCAGAATCATCACTGCTGTCATCTCTCCCATCCCCGAATTTCTCGGTCTCCGCCGCGTAATCGTCAGCGCTCCTCTTCCTGCTCGCACTTCGCACCATCCCTCTCCACCACGAGCTCATGTTCATTGTCGTGCTGTCGCCATCACCCCGCTCCACACTCTCACCGTCGTCGCTTCCAGAGCCGTTCTCGTCGTCTTCGTCCTCGTAATCTGCAAACGGATTCGGATTCCGCGGACGCTGATTGGCTGGAGGGGTATTAAGACCGCCCAATCTCGAGCCATCACCCGACGCGTCGGAGCTTCCCTCTGCCGCGCTGCTGCCATCGCCATTAGCCGCCGCCGCGGCAGCAGCAGCGTTGCGCTTATTCATCGCAAGGCGTGCGGCAAGCTGGAGGCGGGCTCGCGACGGGGGAATGTTGAGGGGCGGCGGCGGGGGAGGCGGAGGGGGAATGGACGGCGGGTTCATCGAGTTGGCCGAGGTGGCATTGAGAGGATCCGTGTAAGCTCGGAACTGAGCGCGAAGTTAGCCAAAGTCACGCAAGAGGATGGAGGATATAAGTAGGGATGATATATCCTAGAAACAGGGACGGCCACGATAGTGGAACTGGTCGACCTGGAGCGAGTGAATCCAGAAAACGAGTAGCCTCCTAGGCTGGTGTTCCCCAAGATGGGCAGCGCAGCCGCGGCGATGAATCTAGCCCGACGTTTCGGAAACGGCTCAAGAGTAAAGGAAAATCCCTCTTCGTTGGCGTGAAACACCTTGAAGAAGCATCCCCACTCCAACACCGACGCGAAGGGCGGATTCTGAAGACCTAGGCAGCTCAAGGCTATCGAGAAGCCGAGGCTACGAAAGGTACTCGCTTGGCAATCAAACGGGGACATGCTGTCTAGGGAAAGTGAGTGGTGGGGACTTCTAGGCCCTTGGCCCTTGGCCGAGCGTGCTTCTGAGATGGAAGCTTGATCCGCTACCGGAATTGGCCCGTCAACGTCGCGTCGCTTCAGGCGACATTGACGGAGCCGTAGCGTGGAAACCAGATCTCGTCCTCCTCTGAGTCCCATCCATCATAATCAAAGGAATGTTGGCCACAAACCTCATTAGCGACATCCTCCTCACTCTCCTGTTCCTCGTCGTCATCTTCGTCGCTGGAACTTCCGAAGCCGCTCAGAAGTGTCCCGCTACTGAGCCCGAACGAGCCAGGTCCACTGCCGCCAGGGCCCTCAGTCAGGTTTGAACCTCCATTCAGCCCAGCATCAGCGAGAGCGCTCGAGTTTCCTCCACTCCCAAGGCCGATGGAGCTCGGTCCGAAGATACCAGCGCCCATAAGACCGGCCACGTTGGCACGGTTGCTCATCGCAACTTCTGGCCGCACACCACCGAGGATGGCGTTATCTCGCTCGCGGGTTTCGGCAAGGGCACCGTCCACATAATTGCTCCACTCTTGCGCCATCACCTTTTCCAGCACCACCTCGCCAAGGATTTCAGGAGGATGGCGCTCGGTGAACTTGACGACCTCTTCGGCGATTAGAGTTAGGTGGCCCATATATCCTTGGCGCGTCTTTTTCTCGGCCTGAGACTTCTCGCTAGCCAATTGACCGTTGATGATCTGGTTGGTGATATCTGCAGCCTCAAAGAGACTAATAGCAAGGATCGGGTTGTAGCCGCGATCCATTGGGCCGTTGAAAACCTGTTGAACGATATCGTAGACGACGTTGTGCAGGAAGTTATTCCACGGATATTTAAAAAAGAAGGCGAGGATGGTAGGCACAACGCGATGCTCAACAAACTGCATCTTCAAGTAATCTCCCACGACGGGTTTTGGGATGGGCGCAGCGTCGCCTGTAGAACCTGTGACGTCGTCGATATGAGCGATAACGATGGAAGCGTCCCCTGTCTCATCGGTAGCCGGTACTCCCGTGGCGCCTGGTTGCACCTGCTCTGCGTCCGGTTCCGACGATTGCAACGATGCCTCAGTGCCTTTGGGAAGAGTAGATCGCTCCCCGGGTGATATCGCATCGACCTCCGCGGTTTCCCCAGACACAGCCGAGGATACTGTTGTGGCATTCTTTCCCGAGAATAGGGGCGCGGGAGTATCCTCGGGATGAGGGGAGAGCTCCTCGAACGACGGCGCCTTGTCCCCAAAAGGTGTTGCTAGGTGTTGATCCCCTTTTGGCGACTCAGGTTCGGCGGGAGCAGAGGCGAAAGTGGAATCGCCAACCGGTGCACTGGTGCTTAGCTCAGACCTGGATTCGGATTGTGACTGTCGTTGCTCGGAATTCTCTGGTCGGGCCTGCACACTTGCTAAGCTCAGAGTCAATTCTTCCAGTGTGTCCTGCGGTTTGTCTTTTTCTGAACTCTGGATCGTTTGTTCAGCCGGCTTTCCATTCCCAGTTGTATCATTCTCGGTTCGTGGCTTGTCGTCTTTGGTACGCGAGGGAATAATATCTACTGCCAAGTCGGCGACCTCGGGCCCGTGCTCATGAATACTTCGCTCCTCAACTTCTCGGACATTGAGTCTTGGCGAGCTCAGCGGTTCGTCGACGAAATCCTCATCCTCCTTGTCGAGGAGCGATGATGCTGGCAGGGGAGCGGGAGGATCGGGTAGCTCTAAAACTCCATGCGAGTTTTCTTCATCTGCAGCGCAGGAAACTTTTTCAAACCCATCGTCATCTGCCGAGATGTTCATAACCTCGAGCTTCCGCCCCTCGTCCGCGGTAGACAGGTTAGAAATTCGCATAGTAAGGTCTTCTGTGGAAGAGGGTGCCTCCTCGTGGACACTAACTGGCAGCAGTCGGCCCTCGGTTCTCAGACGCTGCCGTTGAGTATCGCGAGCAGCGATAAAGTCCTCGGCGCCAACCTCATTGAGCAGTGCCATGTTGCTGCAATGCAAGAGTTCGGCCATAAGCTCGCACGTCTTGAACCGGTCAAAACCCAGCGGCTCAATCTTTTCTCCAAAGGTTGAATCCAAACGTTCTTTTTGGGCAGGCGCGTTCATGATCAGGTTCATGAAGTCCGGGACGTGCTGAGCAAAGAGGCGGAGCAGGGTCCCGAGGTAAATAGGATCGCGGCTTGAGGGGGAGGCGGTCGGGTCAACGCCTTCCGGGTCGTAGTCGGAATTGTTCTTCCTGATGACCTCAATCACGATGCCCACACCGCACGTCAACGAATTGCCACCCCCGAGCATGAACTTGATGAGCTGCTCAACGCAAGGTTTCGAAACCAACTGCCGTGTCAGCTCGTTTGGCCCTATGCAAGTCTGCTCGTTCTGTGACGCGTTAGCCGAAACTGTGATGATAGCCTTGATAAAGTCCGCCGCGGATGTCTGCGTTGACCAGTTGTGCGAAGGCCCAAGGAAGGAAACCAGGGTCGGCATGACATCTTGGGTGTAAAGCCACTATAGACGAAGCCGCGGTCAGTTTTAGATCTCGTCAGTTATCCGGGTCACCGCTTGCCTCAACTATGCCCTGCCCAGCGTCGGTGCGTTCAAGGCTTATGATCTTGAGCAGAAGGTCCATGATCATTGGGCAATCCACGTGTTTCAGTATGTCGGCCACGGCGCCCTCCAGAGACTTGAGGAAAAGCAGCATTTCTTCCGTCTTCTTGTCAAAGAGAGACTCGTTGACTTTTGTAAAATAACTGGCTTGCAGAGGGTCGAGCGGGGCTGGACGCTTCAAGAAGTCCCAGAAGTTGCGCAGAAGCAGCTTGTTCTCCATCAGGGCTTCGTACATGGACCAATTGTCGGAGGAGAGAACCTCAGCCGCAACGAAGGCATACCGATTACGCTTCTTCTCGCTATCATCCTGACCTCCAGGATCGGTCGCCATCGAGCTGCTCCGCGACCTGGTGAACGGCAGCGCCAAGCCTCTGCCTTTCTCGTTCACCTCGTCGTCCTCGTCGTCGTCGGCTGCAGCGATAGGCGCCAGCTTCGGGGCGACTACATACTTGAGGAGTTGTTCAAGCACTTTGGGGTCACGGAGGTATTCAACGAGCTTCGCGTTGTGCTGCTTAAGCTCCTGAAGCAAGTCGCTTTCGTCGAGCAGCTCCTCGAGTTGGAAATCATCCCGCTCAAGGATATTGTCGATGGTGGAGACACTGGCGAGCGTGCCAAATCTCCAAAACATGCTGGGCGGCAGTCGATGATACCTATGTCACGGCGCCGGTAGGTTCGGGGTTGCAGGAGGGCGGGGTGTCGCGATTTCGGAGGGATTCGAGGAAGCGCATGCGTGGGTCGGAGATTACGATCCGTCTCGCGTGGCGCTCCGCGGAGCCGAAACGAAGCTCGAATTGTGTGGATGATGTTCTCTCTTCTTGTCCGGCAGTAACGCTAATGCTGGGATTGGCACGCAGCAACGGACGGGTATCTCAATGTCTAGTATCTGGGCCAAGCCGAAACAGTTAGTAAGGCGGTAGTGGGGGATATGGCATTTTGGAAGTGGGGTGTGGTCAGGGCGAGAAATGAACACAAAGCACGATCTCGCAGTGTATTGCAACAGGCGAAGCAGCACGCGTTGGCAACCCAGAGAGTCAGACCCAGACTGCCGGGTCAGGTTCGTGGCAGGATGCGTCAACCGGGTGCGAATTGTCCGCATCGGCTGCGGCGAGCTGTTCCTGGCCCGGATATGGATTTGGACGCCCACCAATGTGCCAATGCCGGCGTCGGGAGGGGGTGCCACGTACAGAAATTTCGTCGAATGCCAGTAATGTTACAAATAGTTACAACGTGGGTGAGCCTGGGACTGAATGGAAAGAAAGAGATGTCTATCGCCATCAGCGTCGCTGACGGGAGCGGAGACGCGGGGTCGTCGTTTGAAGCCGAATCGATGTGAAGCTCGATGAAGAAACGAGGTCCGGACACACGGGGTCGCCTCCCTCCTTTCTTGGGGCCTGTCACCTTCCGACAGCTGCCCAAGCTGACTGATCCCTCGTGGGTCCAGATGCGGGAAGCGCTGGGACCAACCACCAATCAGGCTAGCTTTAGACTGGATAAAGCAGAATTTATGTACAACTGGTTAGCAGGTATTCGTAACGTTCCTGTAGTCTCTCCATCCTGGCAACCCAACTTCAGGGGCAACTTCGTTCAGATTGACTAGTGATTTATTGGTAGTGTAGGGACAGTACTTGTATCGTTGATTCCTGGCATCCGTCCTGCTTCCATCTATTTAGTTTTTTCTTCCCTTGTTATCGTGTTTTCGTTCCTATCTTTCTCAGCCGAATCACCTCCCCCATCTTTCACCCCACAGTCTTAGGACATCAGAACGACTCATGTATGTAACCTACCGTTAGGTGCTCCCTATCGCCCCTTTATTGACCAGGTTGCACATGTCCTGTAAAAAACGGGAGCCAAAGTCGAGAGAGGTCTACATAGATATGTATGTACAGTACATACCTAGCACAGGTTCTTCTCAGACAATGGAGGGTCGAGCTTGCCAAGTCGTCGATCATTGTCCCGCCTTACACACCGTCCCAGGTCTGGCCACGTTTTTAACCCCAGCCTCACACGTGTGCTGCCGCAGCTAGCCGCGTGGAATTATGCCGAGATGCTCGTTTCACGACCAAAGAAACAGAGAAATTCGCGAGACTCGGCAGTGGCTGACTGCATCCTCCTCTTCATAGCTATTTCCGGATTTCCTACGTCCAAGAAGCTTCCACAAGTTCAGGTGCTTGAACGACTTTGTACAGGAGGATACTTGTTAATCCCCACGGGTAGCGACACCGACAGCCAGGTAACCACGAGGTTAGATCATGCCAGAGACTATCAGCTCTCATTTGCCTCCTATACTAGACAATGTATTGTACATGGAACAAAGTCTTGATCAAAGTCGGAAGCTGCTACACAAGGATGCTATTCAAGAATCATCGGTCCCACAGCAATTCCCTTCACCTCAGCCACCTCTCCATCCATCATCCCGTGCACGTAGCACTCGCCCATCGACCTCCACGTACCATTTTCGAGACCGCTCGTTCCATCATCATCATGCTTTCTCACAACAAGGGGCACGCACCCGCCCTCAGCAACTACGACCCAGTCACCGACCTGTGCCGCCTCAGGCCCAAGGCCCAATAGCTTCCGACTCCGGCTTGAGATGTCGTTCCCCTTCTGCTCGGGCAGGTCTTCGGTAACAAATACTCCTCTCCTCATCGTCTTCTCCCTGGCTGCTTTGGCATACGTCTCGGCTGACCGGTAGTTCCACGGCATCCCCCCAACGCCCGTAACAGCCTGCATAAGCCGCAGGTAAAAACACCTGTGATCATGGTGCAGGATCTCGGGGCTCTGCGCCCTGCCTCCTGATGCCCAGGGGGTGAATTCGATGTAGCCGGCTACGAGGCAGTGGAAGAAGGCTTTGACGACCGAGCCGTCGTTGCGGTACCGCTTCAGTGGGCGCGCCATGGTCTTGAACACGCCAAAAAGCTCCGCTGACGCTCTAGCATCGAAGATGTCAAAGTGCGCTGGCGTAAGAACTGGCGACAGCTGGGCGATGCGAGAGAGGCGCCATACATGCGGGAGCAGTAGAGTACGCGGCGTTGGGAAGCTTGGCAGTGTTATTGGTTGGTTCTTACGTGACGCAGAAGCAGCTGGGGCGGCATGGCTGCGGGGAGAACGTAGGGTCGGGGGTCGAGTGAAGTCGGCAAAGTCGGGCACCCACGACGGGAGGTCCTTGTTGGAAGAGGACTGTGAGTGGAAGACTTGCGATAGGACATCCAAGTCCCCGTCGGCACGGATCCGCTCCGTGGCAGTAGTATGGAAAAGGCTGGCCGCGCTGACGTTGTAGTCAGGCTTGATGTTGATGCTCCCCGGTTCTCCACCTCGTCCACATAGCCCGAGCAGCCCGATAACCTTGTCCCGGATGCCAGTGGCCTGCGTCGGGCGAGTAAGCTCCAGCAGCTTGAGCAGGTCGTTTCTAGTGTCATCTGCACGTCGGCGGCTTCGCTGCACCTGGTCCCGAACCGAGGCCATAGCCAGGCACCCATGTGTGGGGATGGCTGCGCTCTCTAGGAGACTGGGGAAGTGCTGATCACAAGCTATGGCGATGTTTATAACCTCCCCATATCCGTGAATATGGATGTAGTGGGCGGCGTTCTTGACTTCATCCCTCCTTAGCTCGTCTCCGCACAGGACGCTGACGGCGCGAGCCACCGCGAGCTCCTGTACAACCCAGATCCGTGTGAACCATGGTCTGGAGACAAGAGCTGCAGCAACTCCCGAGAGTTTCTTTCGGGAAACCCTTTCACAAATAGTCCAGGTTAATGTATATGGTGTCCCCTTTTCCCAGAGACGGTTCTTCCAATGCTGGTTGAGACGCATCCATCCACTCCGAAAGCTCTGACTCGTCGTTGCCGTTATACGAGCTGACGGCAAACTGAAGGTCCCAAACTGAGGGTTCCAAGTTGTATAGAAGACGGCGCTGAGATGCAGAGTCTGCCAGCTGAATGTTTGGCGTAACAGCGCAGAAGCGCTGGGGGCGGCTCCGCACATTGTCAGAGTCGTCAGCGTTCGAACGAGGAACATGGCGAATCCAGATTGTGTATCCCGCGGCATCCCAATGACCGCTCCATCTAAGATCGATCGTTGTGTCGTCGATGGCTATGGGGCGCACGCACACAGGCACAGGCGGCGTCTCTTTCCCAACCGTCACGGACCTTGCCCCGGCAGGGAGTCCTCCGCCAACGCTCGTCCACGTTTCGACAGCAATGTTGTAGTGATGGCCTGGCGTGAGCCCAGCCATCTCGGCAAATTCCCCCCTGACGCCCTGATTGACGCATGGGAACCCCCCCGGCTCGTCACGGTCGAATGCGAGGACGCCATACCGATCAATACTACCGGTGAACTGTCCCTGAGGAGGCTCCCATGAAATGGTGAAACCGGTAGGCGTGGCATGTGTAACGATATTGCGCGGTCCCGGTGCCGTTTCGGTATGTGCAACGGCAGACACGACACCGCTCCAGGCCGACTTGAGGTGATCTCCTCCGCTCGCACGAACCTGGTACTCCCACCGCTGGCCAGCCACACAGTAGCGCGTATCATAGCGGTTGAAGGCTACGTAGCATGGGAGCGGCCAGTCCGCAGAACCGGCCATGCGTACGCGAAGCTCGTAACCATATGCGCCGTAGACGGGGTCCCAGGTCACGATGATGCCGCTTGGTGCTGAGATTGCTTTGAAATTGGTGGGAGTGGACAGAGGGCGGGAAGGGATCTCCCTTGGTACGGCGAGCTCGGTGCGGCCTAGGTGGAATACTGAGACAAGGGTACGCGAGAAGGCTTGGGCAAGCTGGTACTCGCCAAGGGCATTTGGGTGGAGGCCGTCGTAGGCTGCGTCCGAGGTGGTGCCGCCGCCTGGGAGGGCATCAGTCAAGTCACGAGGCTTATTTTGGGGGGGGCAGCCTTACATGAGTAATTCTCACAGAAGCGCACCAGAGCAATGGGCGACTCAGGTGAATTCCAGAAGGGAATCCACCGCGCGAGCAACATATTGTAGATGTCAGTGTTGACGGGCAAGTCCTCCCGGCCGGGCAGGTCGGTCCGGTGCGGCACATTGGCGACAGCAAACTTGAGGTCCGGTTTCGCAGATCTTGCCTCATCAATCAGGCGCTTCATGCTCGCGAGAGTATCCTTGGGTCCGCTCACGCACCATCCAAGATCGTTGAAGCCAAGCTGGACGAAACAAAAGTCGGGTTCATAGGAGGCGACCTGCTCAGCGATGAGCCACTGGGCCTGGTACGCTTGCCGTCCCGACGCTGAAAAATGATGCGAGTTGGCAAGAAATTCCGGGGCAACGCCAGCAGCATATCCGCCATCGGTCCTGAGGGGGGGTGTTGGCTGTGCGGGCTCCGAGACGAGCGGAGGTGGATGCGGAGGCTCGGGATCATCTTGAGGCACCGTGCCTTTGTACTGCCCTACGAAGCGTACGCGGATGTCTTGCTGACGAAACCATTCCCAGATTCGATACCGCCATGTCCAGTCACCCTCACGGCCGTGCGAGATGGAATCACCGACGACCATGACCTTGATCACATGATCTTGACCATTTTCACGCGCCGCGCTGCTCATGGCGCTGAGGCAACGGCGCGAGCAATGACGCGAGCCAAGGATGCCAAATGCGACTGCTTCTCGAATGCAAATATCGTGTAGAGACGGGAGCACGGCTCCTTTCCAATTGACAAGGAGTTTAGTCTTGTTGCCGAGTTTGTTAGCGGCAGCTGTGTGTCAGGTATGCAACGCTGCTTCATGTTGTTGGAGGATGTGCAATCAGATGAGGGGCAAACTGAAGCTAACGTGCATCAAGGGTTAGGGTTGTCCCTTGGATCTCAGAACCGAGTCAACTGACCAGACTTCGTTGGAGTCATAGCAAAGTATCAAGAGCTAGAAACTTGGAGTCCACTAGGCTGTGGATGTTTGGGTACTTGAAGTCGAATTCTGCGGGCTGGAAAGAGTACCCAACTTTTACAGGGCAGTTACTTCCCCAAACGAGAACGAGCTGGGTCTCCCCGTCCAAGATCCAAAGTCCACACCGTCGATGCTAATATGATGACCAATGTTAATCTACCAACATGGATGTCTTGGAGCTTAAAATAGATGAACTGTTCCCAAAATTCCGTGTTATGGTGGTTTATTGTGTCACGGTATATTCCAACAATCTGGGCTTAGATTTATTTCAGCCGGAATCTCAGCTAACATGAACTTTTACCTATAGAGGTAACTTCCTTACGGTCAGACCTTTGGGGCTCCATGTTAGGTCAAGATCGAAGATAGGTGATTAGGAGAGTTCTCAACTCCGATTTCCATTATCTCGGCCCTCTTCTCTACGAATACTGCCAGGTAACGAAACATCTAAACACACTTGGTCACCGACCTCAGGCTACCAGCTAATCTTCGAAGCTCGGGTTGGCATTCTACCAGGGGCACCTCTACAAGTTACATACGTTCAGACCCGGAGCGTTCAAGACCTTCCATCATGGTGTCTAATAATCTACACACTTAAACTGTGCCGGTCAGTACATAATACTACATATAAAGTTATGATCACTAGATCACTGTGCGGCCGGGGCTCAAGCAGCACCTTGATACATGATCCGAGTCAATCAGGACGTTCTGTGGCTAACCTGACTGGTGGGATTATGCATGGCATCTGGCAACTGTTAGAATGGCTGAAGTAGGGCAGCAGCAGGTTACGAGAAGAAGTCTCGGGGACGCCGCTGCGGGCGATATTGGTATATCGGATACCTACCTCCCTCTGCAGGCTTTCTGCTCTGAGGGAGATAGCAAGGCATCATGCTTCTGACATTGCCTTCCCTACGCTCCCATCATCCTGACACTGAAACTCATTTGCCAGGGCTGAATCAGTTCTCGCAGAGTCGGGCGTTGACGGACTGACGTCTATTAACAGTCTTCAACGGAATGTTGCCAGCAGTTCGCCCTTCAGATTCGAACACCGGTCTCGTTTTCAGTCGGAACTGAATTGGTGAGGGGACCGTGACGTTTACCTTGGTGGTGCTACTACAAGAGTGAAATCCGATACACACAGATGGCCCATAGTATTCGGCTGTATCCGTACATACAAGCTGTGTCTGGAGCCTAGGGTTTTGTCGGGTCTTGTACGGGTCCACGAGACATGCCTGCTTGAGCCCACTGAGCTCTTCTACGAGTCTATCGGAGCGAGCACAAACCTGAAGGCATTTTTGCCTAAGCTCAACAGGCAAACACGCAGCCCACGGGCGTCCAAGTGTAGGTACGGTACGTACCCACGGTAACTACCAGTGTATGTACAGTACGCGTGGGAAACTGGACAACCCGAGATCGCCAAGTTGAGCTGGAGCAGCCGCCAGGGGCCGTGCCGAAGCAATTCGCCGGCGAGGCCGGCTTACCGGGGAAGCGGTCAAGCCGTAGTCTAACTGGCGACGCAGGGTGCGGGTGGCAAAGCTGGTCACTTGTGCTTAACTACATGTGGTCCATGTTTCAGTTTGCAATTTACTCTAGGCCAGGATCCGTAAGCGGGGAGAGTAAAGTCCTGAAGAGATACCCTTGCCGACGGGGAACTGCACTGTAAACTCACACCACTGAGCAAGGCTGGCATTGACTGGGACACGTGGTGACCAGGGAGTGTAGTTCTTCTCCTGCCGACGCTCCAGTTTGTGGGGTAGCCCGAGACAACATGACTGGAAGGGCCGGGGTTTTCTGTCGGTTTGTTTCTGCAAGTTATAATAGATTGATGAGTGGCGGCGGTGGGATGCCATGTAGTTCAGGTAGCGTACTTCGTACCTCCTCAGCATCGGCGGAGTAGGTTTCCCTGGAATGGGATTTGGCGTTGTTCTGAAACTGTACACCTAAGGTGCGGACTGCAAATGGGTGTGAAGTACTCGAGTCGCAGTATGTCATGCGCTGCGAAGCCGGCAGCTATGACGGGGAAATCGGTGATTCGCTAATGCCGTCGACTCTAGCGATCCATCCAAATAAAGGCAGGGAATAGTCGCTCTTGGCAAGCTGTGATACGCAGGTCGGCGAGTCGAAAGGGCAAGCTGAGTGGCCGAGATCCGGCTTTGTAAGGGCCCCGTCTCGAAGGGTCGAAGGCCAGCACTGTCCTCTGTTTACCTCGTGATGCCCAACTGAACAATAGCTCGGTCACTGGGTGCCACACAGCTCCGGAAAGGCCCCAGGCTTGCTGAGAGGCCGAGCGATCAGACCGATCAGCATCATGATTGACGGCACAATGAGATGATCAACGTAAGGACCAATCCGACAAGCGGTGTCCAACCTCTTTTGGGAGCTAGACACCAAGCGGGTAAGATAGACCGGGCGCTAGGCGCGGGAACTGCGTCCCGGCGGAGTGGACCGGGATGTGGGCGTGGCGGCGTCAGTACCCCGTTTCGTGCAGCACACAATCGAGGCTCATGGGGAGGCCACGAGATTCTGTATGCACCTGCACTGTATGGAGTCGTCCAGCGTACGTCCAGCTATTGAGACCTCGGGCCAGTGTCAACTGGAAGGGCGCAAAAGTATTGCACAGTGCCTACATGGATACGATGGTTGATTACTGTCCGCAACCAAACCAGTAAAGCTTCGGGCCACGCGCAGCAGTTGGAGGAACAGACTCGCAATTCAGTGCTGAAGGAACGTCGTAAACCGCGTCCGGTCTTGGGATACAATTACGATTTGGCGGTACACGCTAGTGTAGGCCGGGCTCCGTGTTCAATAATGGAAGAGAATCCTTATGGTACTCAAGTGCGGAGGAGGATTCTGATAAAGGGGTGGTGCCGCTCGTTTGGGCTCATTGTCATTGGACAGCCGTCCGATTGGCGCCTGCAGCCCTTCAAGCCCAAGACCGCCACTGTAGGTGATGGAGGGCCATGCTGGGAGGTTCGTGCGCTCGCCTCGTTGGACCCTTGGTAATTATTGTATGCAAGTGTTCAAGGCACTTCGTCCAGAGCTCAGAGTAGTGGATTGTCAATTTGTGCCAGTTGAAACTCAACCTCAGTCTCAGGGCAGCTTCGCCTCGATTCACGTCATTACTGGTCTGCGCACCAAGGTAGTATACCAAGGGTCTCACCGTGATGGATATTCGTAGAACATTCCTTTTCTGTAAGAACTCAGGTTAACCCCGCATTAGTGGGGTGGGGCCTTCTTACCAGTTACAGGGACGCATTACAGCTGAGGTACGTAAGGTAACTACCGTCAGATACACTGATTTCCTGCAGGAGCTGCCTGTGAATCCCATTATCCCACATCTCCCGGGCCGTGGATTTCTGGTTCGTAGCGAGCGCCATTCAACTCTCTAGTACTCAGGTAAAGGTAGCTCTTCCGCATTCAAAAGTTCCGACTCGAATGCCTTCCATGCCTAGCTGAGATATCAGGAGCCATCAACCACCCAGTAACACATCTAACGTCCATGCGCAACAGAGTGCCTGCTCATATGTCAGGCAGTTAATTATGGGACCGAGCAAACTTATCGGCATAACTAAGGTATGTCAGACTTTTAATGATATGATCAGACGAAATCTTCACGGACTTAATCCGGGCTTCGGGGAATATCTACAGCACCTTTAGTGATACATTACACGTACGGAATGTTAACGGGTATGTTGGGTCCTTGTATAATACAGTACAGTACATCACGTGGCATATACTGTGTTGATGATCTTACTACACAGGCTCGAGAGAGGTTCAATTGTTTGCGATAGCAGTGATGTTGTGACCCGAAGTTTTTCGGGTTCGCAAGGGCCGAATCAAAGACGATAGCTCGGGCAGTGGCTTGTCTCAGGCGGCAAAGCAGCAAGTTTCCGTTGGGCGGTAAGGTAGTAGCTTTCAACGAGCTTGAGAGCACTGAGGTTGCCAGTACAGTACACCAATCACCCCGTAGTCTAGTACCATCGTAAGTACCTAGGGAGTTTGACACTCGTCAGACTCTGTCAATGCCTCACTTTTGGGGACTGCCAAGGCCTGGCAAGATCTGGCGATTACCTACTTTACTTAAGTCGGTCCGCCGGAAACTCCACTGTCAGGGTCTGAAGAGTGTCAAACTCCCTACTTACGATGGTATTGTACATACGTACATACAATCCATAAGTACGATCTAGCTGCATGGAGCCGCTCAACTCTTGTGGAAGCTTCCAAAGGTTCCATAGTGGGACTTGACGCTGGAAGCCGTCGGTCTTGCCGGCTAAAGGCCTGAAACCAGTTTGATAGTTCATAGTTGCTGTGGAGCGGTAATTTCCACGTGTTTTAAAGCTTCCTAATTAGGAACACGAGTCCTGACTGATCCCCACCGAGCCGTTCTTTCCGTCTCCTGTCTCAGGTAATTGTCCTTGCGCGTAGGTACAGCAGGACAATACAATACACGTGCGATGATGTGCTCTGAGCACAGTGCACATTGAGAGTAGTAGTAGTAGTGCAGTAGCTCGAGCAACTTGAACTTCAACATCTTGCCGGGGGAAGAAGTTTTCAACGGCAGAATGTATGCACCAGGAACTTGTCCCATAACGTTACCTAAGGGGGATCCGTACCCGAAACTGCACAATGGGACGGAGATCGGGCCCTCGGCCACATCTGGCAACATCAGAGTATGAACTTGCAGGCAGGGTTCGAAGTCCATATCCGCCAGATGATACACTACAAGGCTACCAGAGGCCGCGAAAAACGTCCAAAGAGAAAATTCTGCTCGAATGATTTCAATGCAAGCATTGCAATACCTCTAAACGGATAACTAAACGGATAAAGCAAACCATTGGGTCGCTACACTATTCGGCGGACGCGATGAAGGAGAGGCAGATCCATGATATGGACTAGGTCCCCGGCCCGGGAGAGGGCGAACTGACGTGATGGAGCATTCTTCTTCACCGGTGCGGGTCGCATAGGTGCATTCAAATCCCGCCTCGACGATAGAGAACGCCGGCTCCCGGTGGAACAATTTAACTAATTTTTGACTAGTATACGGATACTAGTATAGCACTAAACACAACACACGGACGGTACCTACGAAGTACATACAGTAGTGTTGTACAATCTTCGTCCTCCACCTTGGCGGACGAAGGATCCAGCATGGAAGTGAAAAGCCCCCACCCCTTTTGTGATGATCGGGTTGCATTGCGAAGTCTGACAAGGGCCGACACGTGCTTCTCCACTGGTGCGCCCAGACATCCACGGCTCTCTTGCGGTTAATGTTACCGGGCTCCCGACTAATGATCCTGGTCATCCCACTGGTCAGAGTCAAATTGGTGTACAGTACAATTACATACGGAGTCAATCAATACTTCAGGTACCTTACAGTAAACTCACGCTGCCCGAGAATGCGCACATCGTCTACATAATTGCAGAAGGACGTAACCTCCAGGGCATTTCCAGCCATGCCGCGTTAAGCCAACAGATGTTGGGCAAACGACTAGAGAAATAAAAACTTAGGAGATCAACACCGGAGCTACCCAAAGGAACAGTGTTTGAAGTAGGTGATTCTCGGTGAAATGAGGAAGCGAAAACAAAATTCTTAAGTACTGTACATAACTTACCCAACGCTGTATGCGTAAATGTACGGATAGTACGGAGTACATACACTACGAATGCACTAGTGCCTTTCAGGCAGGCAGGTCTGCCAAGCTCTGTACCTAAACTTACAGCAGGAACCACCGTTTTGGAGCCGTTTTCCCTCACCATTTACTCCGTACACGTGTATGTATTGTACGTATTCGTACCTCTGCCATGGTTCTCACACCCCGCGTCGCGTTCAAAAACCAGCCTGTCCATAAGCACGCCAATGAATACCTGCCACTCCCATTGAGGAAAGACTGTACAACTTGGGTTAACCAGCAACAAAAGCCTCAACAACCTCGTCGAAGGCGCTTCGACTTGCCCTTTGTAGGTAGGCTAGATGGGAACTGACTGACAGGACCTTTTCGGGCCGTGCGCTGCGGCAATTGAAATGGGCTTTGCTCGTCAACGCCGGGAAGCAGTCATCCTTGTATCGGTATGTACGTATGGAGTACTACGTTTCAGTCCACGTTACCTACGGCTAAACTCTTGCCTGTCTTGGCTTAGATTTTGTGGAGATAGAATTCAGTGCTACATACCTTAGTTTGTTCATTAGCGAAGAATTCACGACCGGTCAAAAAGACCTCTCTTGAAAAATGATAAAAAGCTAGGTCAGCGCAAAGAAATAAAGTAATTAGTAAAACCCCGAATAGCTGCTTTCCACCCAATGCTACTTGTTGGAGAGAGTGCCTATTTTCAAGTTGAGATTCGAATGACTACCGGTATCTGGATTGACCCTTGCCTTTAGCCAGGCGTTACCGAACAAACCAGGGGAGATTGTATGTATTGTACTGTATGTACAGTACAATACTCACAGCGCTTTACAAGCAATGTTGGAGACTGTGCCATGTCTAGAACGCTTCCTTCATTTTTCCACAATCCCTGCTATGTAATGGCTTGGGCACCCCCTTGTCCCAGTCTTGTCAACCACGTCTCGAGTCCCCATGTATTGTACAGTACATAATTACTATGTGTACTTGTACGATGCCTTGTCCTGCAGCCCCCAGGGTATTTTCCGACATTTGGTACGCACAGAACTTCAACATTGAGAACTGCATGATGCACAAGCATGGGTTCCCGGTCCTCCTTCCGGTGACAGCTTTCCTTCACTTCTCTTGGGCATCTGTCTCGGTCTGGGCCCTTGGGACTTAAATACAACATCTTCCCGCCGCCTTCTGTCTCCATCCCTTCCTGACATTCTCAAAGGTATCCACCCGAGCCAGCAGCAACTCCATTCATTCCATTCACTGACACGGCCAGTTGGTGTTCGTCTCGACTTCCACTGCACCCGATCATACATTGCAGCCGTCACGATCCGAAGCACTTGAAGTTGCTCGCCCCAAAACGATTAAAACCTCCCTCCCGGCCCAATTCAACCCCAAACCAAACACCTAAACCTAACATGTGCGACTACACGCAACGGGAATACTCCTGCGGCCACTTCCGGTGGATCGCCTCCAAATGGTGCCGGGACTACACAATAACCCACAAGAGGTGTCAACCGAACGTGACACATTTTGAGTACCGGTGAGAATCTTGGTAAAAAACCTGCCGATGAGGCACAATTGCTGACTCGGGTTAAACGTACAGGGCCGAGGAGCTTTGTGGTAAGTCACTACAGTCGTCGATGCATCCGCCATCTGAACAGTTGTCTGCCGACTTGCGGTCATCTGGTCTGCAGTGTTACCCACCGGCGCAAATGCTGAACCAGAGTCCTCTCCGTTATACCTTTCTGCTGTGTTACCGCTGGAAAGCGACGCTGACATCATATGTAGGCGAGTGCAAGCCAAAAGAATACCCGCCATGGGAGAATTTGATCAAGCGTTCCAACAAGCAGGCCTACTAAACAACTGCGCCCATTTTTGGTGAAATGAGGAAGGGAGATGACGCCTGGCGCTGAGCAACGCACTGTCGGTGCACGACAGTAGGCAGATGAACGGGCGATGCGGCGACACGGGGCAACGGCGCGACGACGGAAGCCAGGCACCCCGTAAACTTGGACAACTCCAAGGAGTGAGCAGCCGAAATGATCAGACCCTCGCATCACCAGGCACACTCCAGGTTTGGGTCACGGCAACTCCGGTTCAACATGCTCAAGGCCGTTCGGACAGGTAGATGGGCCCCTGGTTACGCCCCATCAACACAACGCGAAAGCAGCTGCAGATCTGAACCCGCAGTGCAAATGCCGTTACGGGACACAACATCTGGGGGCCACTTCACCCTCGGAAAAGCCCAACCCAGGACTCAAATCCTTCCGCTGGGTCCAGCTCAATGGCGTCGGGTTCAGTTGCCGCCAATCCTAAACCCCAACAACCAAGTGCCCCCCCTGGAAATGCAACGGTTCAGGGGCCCAACGGTCCGTCAATTTGGGCGCCCAGAGCCAAAATCCCTCGTCCGCTGCAACGCTGCCACTTGCAATCCTACCGCACGCCCAAACTCCCGGCAAATTTGTGCCTGGTCGGGTGCTTACCTGCATTCGCCCTCGTCCATCAAATCATGGTCCATTTCCTTTGCAGGCCATCAATCTCCCCCGTTGTACCATCATTACCTATTTCGTTCGTGGTCACAGTGTTTCTCTATGGTGTCAGGTGCTTTTTTATAACCCTGTGTATATACAGAGGAGGGCGGGAGGCACACCCGGTTTGCAGGGGATCCGGGTTGAGTTTTGTTGCTTTTTGTTTACACCATCAAGTTACTGCACGATACCTTACTTTTGGCCTCAGTATTGGCCCTATTTCGGTTTATGGGTCTGGTGTTTATCTATACAGGCGGACAGGATTGTTTTTTGGGATACCGACTACACTGGTGCTTCTTTATTTCCTAGGGAAGGAGTAAAAGGGGAACGATAAAGGAACCTAGGAGGGGGGCGACCTGGGAGGACAGGCTCGTTTCCATTAGCCCCAGTCCCTGACTGCTTTCCGGGTAGAAATATAACAAGCATATTCGCATACGCATTGGCGCAGGCGTAGTGTGCCCGTTATCAATGAACCCTCTACGCTACAGTTACTCAGTGGTGTTCCGCCTTCCGCCCCCACCTTAGGTTGTTTCTCTTCGTTTGCAGGTGCATCCACGAATTCTCTCCAGTTTCCGACACCGCAACCTTGTCACGTCCTTCTCAACTCGACATGCATCACTCACCCAATGACCGATGCCATATCATCATCACCGTGCTCGTCGGGCATTACGCATAGCTCATTGGGCAGATCTACACGAATGGAGAGCGGCACACCCCGCCCCGCAGCCTTGATTCTAACGTCACAACTTTGCACCGATGTGCACCGAAAGCCGTCGTCATCTAGCGTTCCGTGTTGTCCCTCGCTCGAGTATTTGGCTTAGTCGACAGCAACAATACAGGTAGCAATCACGGGGCAGAGTTATGGGTCCTCGCCGCTCTTTCAGAACACCTGACTCAAAGGCCACCTGCCTTGCCAGTCCGGTTCCGAAGGGGGGACGAAACGCGGCCTTAGGGTTCCAACGCCATCAGTCTTCAACAAGGGGGCTAGTTAGTACGTGTGTGAAGATTGATAGTACTCATAGGAGTGCAACAGCGCGCTAATGAGAGTGGGGGCCTCTACGCACATAGTTACACTAGATTATGAACGGTGCTCTGGCATTTGCTTATTTTTTCCCTTCTCCCATGACCCCGTTGCAGCGGCATGGGCGGCAAAGGGCAGACCCCCAAGGTACCTGTAGCTTATGGATAACTGTATGTAATGTGCCTAACCTTACCTCCTCCGCTATTTACTCTGTAAGGTATGTTAGCTCGGTTAGGTCCCTCCTGGATGAGCAGAACAAGGGCTATGGGTGGTGGTGAGAGCGGTGATGGCCTTCCAAGTGGAGGTTATGCGGGGCGGCTCACAGGAGAGGGAACCAGCCCGTGCTGCTCGGGCAGTGAGGTGCTTGTGCAAGTACAATACATAGGTACTTACAGGAGTGTACCGTGACTGCCCAAGGTTGCGATGAGGCCGATGACTGCCGCTCGCCAAATACTTCCTTCGTTGCCCTGATGTTCAGACCCAATCCAGCATTGGAGTGCGTGTAACACAGGTGGTGACACAGATCATCGACTGCCGGATTTCATGACTTGGCTGCGGTTTGTCCAATGTATTTATCTACGTGCTCTCGTGAGCCGTACTGCATTGTACTGTACTGTACAGTACATACATATATACCAGTACCTATGTGTAGGGTCAAGAAGCAATGGTACGGGCAGTTCTTGGGCAACTTTAAACATGGTCAGGTAACTACCTCAGGTAGGTAACTGAGGTAGCTACGGAGTTTATACATACTTGTACCCGATACGTCACTGAGCTTGGGGGCACATACATTGGAGCCTGATAGTATATTTCGTCTCATCTCTTCTCTTATACTCCGTATAGGTGGTTTCCTTTTCCTTCGTATGGATGGTGCGATTGCGAATGATCGGCCGAGAATCGAGACCTGATGCTTATTGTGGCTTTAGCTGCAGCTAGTCGTTTGTAATACGGCAGTGGTTTGGCCCTTGGAGCGGGGTGCCCGCCGAGATCATCGCCGCCAAGGAGCTCCAGACTTCTTGGTGGTTGAAGCGTTGGCGCCAACAAGCATAACCAGGCTACATCATTATTAACCGAACTCAACGGCTTTCAGGCACACTCGCCTGTATGCAACGGCTTGCGTGCTGATCTCCAACTACCGGTACACGTGTATGTGGACTAGTTGGCAAGACGTGGCTGAGGAGTCCTCTGGACATACGGCAATGTCATGGGATATACAAACACTGTAATATATATTGAGATAGTATTGGTACTGTACTGTACTGTACCAACCTTAATTAAACGGTTAGGCATAGCTTACCTTACCGTAATTACAGATGTGCTACCTATACGTACTAGAATTCCATGTTCACATCAGCTTTCCAGTGCGGTCTGGAGCTATCCTACCTGCTCTTCTCTAGGTTTCGATGGTGTTGCCGTCTTTTCATCGCCCTCCAGTACAGTAATAACATGGTAGTCGTCGTTTTCCCTCGTCGTCAGAGCCGCGGTCACTCCCTGCCCGAACTTGCGGCGAGGATCAGGTACAAGCTCGCTGCCATTGGAGCCCAGATGGCGCAGATGCCATTACCGTTACACGGCGCCTGCCGAATACAGCCTTACATACACGGGCCCGATCAATTGAGATTTTGTTGTGCGTTTCTCATTCGGGCCGCAAACTCTACCGACATGGACAGGACGTCTGATGCTCGGGACGGAGTCGTTGGGCAGGATGGTAACACCGATATGCTTTGGCCTTGTGCACTTCAAATGCTAACTTGGAGTGCGAGGATGCCGCCCGACCGGCTCTTTTGTTGCCATGCGATGCTGGTACCGAGTCAAGTTGCTGCATTTCCTCGAACCTCTCAGCTTCGCCTCCCGTCAACCTTCCAGTGCGAATCACCATGTGTGGATGTCAGGTTACTGCCCACCTCCACCACTGACACTCACACCACCCGTGCCTCCTGTCACTGGCATTAGCCGCAGCAGGGTGTTGACCCCATGAGCATCAGAAACAATTCTTCGTTTTCGCCTGGTCCTCTTAGAAAGCGCAACGGCTTTTCCTCAGGGAGAAGGGCATACCCGTCCCTCGGGCGATGCGTAGTGGTTCGGATGTGACAATGACAATCGCAGACGTGCAAGGGCACCGTGGTCCATTAATACCACCAGCTTCCGAGGTCTGGTCGCGCTACGGTTGGAAGTTATGGGTTGAGCTAACTTTGGCTCCTGCAGCTGCAGGCTGTAGAAGGCAGTACATACAAATGGGTCTGCGATGCATGTGCAACACTGCAAACTGACCTCTCAGGACCAGTGCTCAGCCCACGAACCGTTGAAGGCGGGCAGATGGTGGGAGGCTCGGCAGAGAACCACAAGCCGCAGACGATAATCTGATTTGCTCCAATTATTGCTTTACATGACGACAAATAGGAAGCCGATATGCGCGTACAGGCCCGGGCCCAAGGGAAAGGGGGCAGAAATTCGATAATGGAATTGACAAGTTCGCTATTGCATAGCTCTTTTCAAATGTTGTTTCCCTCTCCTACCAGCATCATCGGAAGTTTAAAGGTGACAAGTATCCGTAACGTTGAGCTGACTTGCAGCCTCCCTGATTGTGATTAGTTGGATCCACGATATCTAGGCACGGTTGGACAGGCTAGTGTGGAAAGGCGCGCTCCGTCAGGACCGTCACAAATGACAGCCCGCCCAGAACCTTGACCGCCGGATTTCGGACAGACATGGAAGAATATCACCGTTGAGGTTTGAAGCCGGGTCCCTTTCCCACATGCTCATCCCATTGCCATGCAATAACTAACATTAGTATTCGGTAGGGACCCGGCCTGGAGGCCCCCGTACATCCTTCGTACAGTACCGTACAGTACAGACGCACTTCGCATAACCGGGGACAGCGTTACCTTGCACGGGCCGGCTCACATCGACGAACACGCATCACCTGATTGCATGCTGCTGCAGTGTGGCTAATCACTTCGCAATGATCCAAGCCGCCGTCGAATTACTCGAGTCGAGCCTAAGTTATACTCCAACTAAGCTACCGCACGTATACCAATAGCATTGCAAATGCAAACCTCCGTCGACTTTGGATTTCCTGTCCGAACCGCATTGGACTGTTATCCGTGGGCTTCTCGCGTCACTACACATCCGTCAGCGCACTGGTAGCCGCCCAGCACCGTGACAGCACAGTATCCGGCAACATCGGTCACGCGAGAAGGCTCACAAGGCCCGACGATCAATTTTACTGGCGCATACGGAGTACGCACACTAGGTTTAGTCTAGAATCACCCAAATTCTCCGAAGAGCCTCTTCCCGACACCGTCCATCAAGTTATAACGTTAGTACCAATGTGCCTGCATGTAGCCATGTACAGGACAGCACGAATCCTGCCTTCTATCCCTTCCTGTGAGGATGGTGTGGGCATGTGGCTGCTATCACCTTTCACAAGAGGTCTCGCGCCACCCCAGATTGATGTAAGTTACCAAGTCCTTGAGGTACCATGGCTTGGAAGGCAGTGGAAGATGCTAAGTGTAAGGTAGATGCATGTATGTATTGTATATACAGTGCAATACAGTACATGTCCACGTATGATATTGTACCATCCACCCTGGGTGCCTGTGGACCTATTAGTGAAGCCGTTCGGCCCGTTTGGCCGAGGTCGGGAGCCAGGTGGAAGATGAGAAAGGTCTTACATGTTCGGAGTATGCCGCCGCCTCATTCAAGGAACGGTCCATGCATGTCGTGGAGGCTCCGATCCAGCGTGTCAGTGACAATCCTCACCGGTGTGTGTCTTTACCAGTACTTCTGATCCAAGGAAATCAGCATCACAGTTTCATCCAAAATAATTATGTCAAATTGCCAGCTAACCGTCCCCTCATAGGCTAAATCTCTCACCACTTTGAACATGTGAAGAGACGCGGTTGTGATCCTACCATGTGCTTGCCACCGCGCCGGACAGCACACAATTTGTACCTGATCTTGCAAGTTCGAAGCACGTTTCCTCCCGGAAGCCGTGCCAGATCGACACGCTGAGCGGCCGTTGATACGCTTCCCCAGCACCCTCTTCCAAAGCGGCCGACCTGGACACCGAGGTTACGTTAGTATCAAACGATTCTGCAGGGCCCTTCGCGGCCCTTTGACCGGGGATGACGAGAACTCCCGTTCTGGCCACAAAGAGTGCCGAGCAGATAACCGTGACTGCATGGCAAGCGTCCTAAATGCCGTGCCACGATGTGGTATTCGATGTACGCGTTCCTCCTGTCTGCCCAGAATATTGCCCTTATGGTTCTTGTTCTGACTGCGTTTGGATATGGGTGCTGAACGCAGCACGGCCAAGCCAGGTGTGCACACTTTTGTAGTTCCTAAAAGGGAAAGTGGGCGGTTGGATTGGGACGGGCCGTTGCACTGCACGCCACCCTCCGCGGGCGTGGCTGACCACCAACATGGGGTGGGTTTCAACCGAAGTAATCAATCCACTGCCAACGTTTCACGTTCCCTTCCATACGTATTTCCATTCGTACTGCATGCCATCACGGCCGGGGCTGCTAATGTCCAAACCGAATACCTCCTTCGGCTCTTGGAGTACTGCATCGTAATTAGAGGCCTACCTTTGCGGTGCCGGTTCTTGCTTCCACCGTCTCAACTTGAAGTTGGCTGATGATGTCCGGGCCGAACCAGACGGTCATGACGGTCGATCTGATGTGAAATCCGTCCCAACGGCAGCAATCTGCGAATCGAGATGTCTTAATGCATCCCGCTTTAAGACCCCACAATCTTCACCGAGGTTACACTCTCCCAAGCAGCCGGCTCACCGATGTCTATCTGGGGTCGTACTAAGCACCTTTTTCGGGTGCGGATTCAACCAGACCCTCCCGTTTGGGGTGGACGTTCCGTGTTCAGGTCCGCGTCTGTGCGCGGCAGAACCGAACATGTTCGTCCCGTTGGATCTGGCATCAAAACGGATAATGCGATGCGAATTGGGATTTATATGCGGTTGGCCGGATCGCACACCTTTCTCCAGACAATCCGCATATATACATACACTGCAACCAACTTGGAACCAGGGTTGCAAATTCTTCTGGAGCTGCTATGTGTCTACACTATTTGGGCGAGTAGTGTATTGACGGCACGGCAGATTAAAGTTCAACGTCCGGGGTTCGGTTCAAATCTGTGGAAGTGAAACCGCATCAGCACTTGCACTCCAAGCCAATCCGTCAAACACACAATGCCACTGGCAGTACACGCCCTCGCTCCGGTTTCTCACAGGTCACCAATCCCTTGATTATCGTATGATCACTATCAGTAACAACTTAACTTAAGATCCATTGTCACCACCGCTCCCCCAGGTTTACTTTTCAGCTCAATACGGCGTACGGAGCACACTACATGTATATTACCGTCTGGTAATGCCAGCGGCCTTATCTAATGTCAGCTCCCAGAGAGTTGACTCAACTTGAATGTACCGGTGCTTCCACAATCGAAATTAATACAATCAGGGACTGATGTAATCAAGACCGTATTGCACTTGTACTGCACGACTGGGGGTTCCTGTGTTGCCATGCAAATACCTTACGCATTATCTCATACTCAGACGTTTTTTATGGGCGTTACAGTACAGTATGATTGAAATCTGGCTCGTGCGGGTGATGGTACATGAAATGCCCCACTTTATTGCTGAACGCCCAGAAAAAACGTCTGATTCGGAAATGCAGGAATCGGCTGATTGGGGTGGTCACCCCAGGCATTCAGGAGAGGGTCACTCTACTACAACCCATTGTATCGCAATATGAATTTCTGTCTGAAGATGCTTAGAAGTAGGCCATTCTTCTGGTATATATATCAAGTGGTTGTAGGACTGCGAATGGTGTAAGAATGGCCCGAACGTGCCCGTAGATTGGGGTGGTCACTCCTCTCCTTCGGTTGCCCCCCATCAACTTTCCAACCACCAGTTGTATTAACTTCAAACTTGGTTACCATGTTAATTGGCCATTCAACTTCCTTAAACAGCACTTTCCAGCCTCGTTATTGCAAAGCGCATCGCTATATTCGTCGCAGCGCAAAGGGTATCATGGATCGCTTGGAGCAGGCCAGGCACGTCGCTGGGAGGTTGTGCAAGTTGACAGGCGCGGTATAACCTCGCCTAGACCAAAAGTATCGATAGGAAGGACGCGATTCTAATTGTAGCTGGCCAGCTAGCGGCTTGACTTAAGCAATCCTACCAGGTTTAGGTAGGGCAAAGAGCTAACTAAGCACTCGTTAGCATCCATCTCGAATTCAAGGTAGGAAAACTCACAAGAAGAGAGCCCTTTACTTGGCAATGGCAGAACATGCGTCGGATTGCGATTAGCTTCAAAAGTGGTAGAGTGGTAGTTGTGGGCGTACTGGAGGGGGACCTCAATCACGACTGGGACTGCATTTCCGACTCAGACCAGTGTGCGCGGTTGGTTCGTGGGAGGGATATGGCTCATTTGATTGGCTGATTCTGGCCCGTAAGTCACTGTGGAGCCAATACCGCGCAATACACTGGTCTGAGTCCCTGAGATAACTTACGCATAACGTTAGACAGGCCTCTCCGTAACGTACTGTATGTACACAAACTTGTATTGAAACCTGTGATTGTATTCCAACCCCGGGCAGCCTTGAACCTTTGGTTACCTCACAAACATACCTAGGTAAAGTTATAAACACCTAAACTCAAGTCGACTATTTGATAATTAGGTGTCACTTTCGCTTTTCCATTCAACTGTTGAAATATCGACTGTATGCAAGGTGTATATATTACCACAGACTGCGCTCTGCTCCATACCAAGCGTACCATACACGCGAAAACGGCAGGTCTCGGCTTTCGGGATTCAGTTTGCTGCATACTGTTACAATACAGTACAATTCATCCCTTTGTTATATTGTAATTACACCGCCCTCGGCCCAAATTCAGAGACACATTCGCAACGTTTTCACTACTCGTCAGGAGCTTCGATCGCCATCTGACCCACTACTTCGTGGGTATCTGTACTCCGTATACGGATACTTCGTAAAGTCAACTAATTCCCCAGCTGTGCGTGGGCGATGGTTTGTTCCCAGGGATTATCTATATAGGTACAATCCGTAACTAGGTAATCTACATACACTATCCGTACATCGCTGTGGATCAGTTCTAATGTTTCTCAAATGAGGTACAGGTCCGTATTGACAGCCCGGCATACATTGTATTTACAATCATTATGGTTCATGTTCAGCCCGGTGAGCTCCTGCAGGATTGAACCTTCCATGTGAGTGCCCTACCAAGCGCGCTGAAGGCGCGGCGTATGCAGGTTGTCGGCTCGGGTTATCTTTTGCCGCGGTCCTGGTTGTTGGGCAAAGGATTGTGAGGATCATGGGGATAGAAAGGCGTAGGGATGGTGACCTACGAGGCATGCATGGGGAAGAAATACACACTAGGTAGGTGTAAATTACCTAGTATGCATCTTCCGTGGGGGTGGCCAACTGCTTTACATCATGATGGGTACCTACGAAGGTACCTTATCTATGAACAATATGTCTATCGACAGAGTAAGTTAAGGCACAAGTACCTACCAACGTACTTCGTACATAGGTACATAGTAGAAGTCCTGGCCCTACGCTCCTGCACGGCACTTGTTGAACTCTCAATCGATGCATGATATGAGGCATTGGCTTGAGAAGAGGGGAAGTGGTGGTGGGAAACGCCAAGCCGAAAGACGCCGGTCTCCAAGTTGAGGGGCCGGGGGGCGCGAACCACAACCCCCGATGGGAGACACTGCACATGACGGCGTTGCTCACCGCTTCGGTTTGTTGGTCGGATCTTGGAGGATGGTGTTCAACAGAAGACCGGTGAATGCAGAGTAGCTCCTCCGGCAGTTGTTTTAGAGCCCGCCTCGTGGCCCAAGTCCGCCTTCTCTTTGGTGTAAGAGCAAAGCGTTTTCCCCTTAGGGAACCTCGGTCAGGAAAGTCGGCACGCTGGAAAAGAGGGCCCCCACGCGAAGAGTCTCCCGCCACTGAATCCTGTTTCCACCGTAGTTGACCTTCGTTTAGAGGCAACAGAGTGTGCATGTACTGTACTTCGTTCTGTATGGGGCAGGTCCAGTACGGGACTGGTCGGCATTCGGCAATGCCAAGCCCGGAAAAATGGGACTCAAGCCCGGGTTCCACTCCCGGACACGGTTGCAACACCCCGGAAGAATTCCGGTAGGACCCACAGTCTCAAAGTACCTGTGTACACTAGTCCAAGAAGCCGGGCAGTGGAAGTTCATTTTTGTTGGCTATGAGCGTAAGGGTGTCACTGCTTCCCAAGCCCGGTTGTCCCTTCCAAGGTTTATGTTCGACTTATCAATCAACGATGTAGGTCCTGATCAAGGCCTAGCGGCCTGCTTCAAAGCATAAACAAAAGCCAACAACCAGGATGTTGCACTCATTCTCCGGGATCCAAACCCATGATGGGTCTTTATGTTACCTTTAGTCTTTCGTACCGACGTTGGGCTACGCCATTCCGCTCCGGATGCGGACGGGGGACTTGACAAAACGTGTAGGTTGTACCTCTATCCGTAGGGAGACAGGGCATATAAGTCTCTCGCACGGCTAGATGGAACATCGACACTGAGGATAGCGCAAGCCAATGTAATGCGACCGCTTCACGCGGAACAGTCAAGCGGTCTTATAACCACGACGGAATCTTAATATGATGGACATTTTCATCTTAGCGTTGAAGACTCAACCAAATACAAGGCATGCAAGCATACCCGCGCGGTCCATACAACGCAGCTTGAACGAGGTACTAGTAGCTCCTTGGGCCGCAGTTTTTCATGCCGTTGGCCTTGTTGGTTCCCATCTGTTGGAACGGCCGCATAAACCACAGCTCATGTGACTTGAGTGTGACGTGGCATGTTTCGACCAACGGAGACGGTACGATGCCCGATACTATTCTTTGGTCTGCCACATAACCAATGTGACAGACATGACCAGAGTGGACCGAGTTGTAAAGACCTCGAGAGGGACATGGCTAACGACTTTAGAGCACTATATGTATACTGCCATACCTCAACTGCGCGACCAATCTCAGGTCTTTAACAGGGCCGCACCGAGGAGTTGTTGGAGGCTCACGGACAATAGTAGCGAAAGTTGAGGCTTTGAAAAGTAAGTAGGTAAGGTCATAAGACGGGACCCGCGTCTGTCTTCGGATGTCACAGAGCCTTAGGTAGGGTCTTCGTGTAATTTGAGTCTGTTCAACGCCCAGAAAGCCCCTAGTGAGTTACGGATGAAGGTCTGATCTCAATAACTCCATCATAAGACAGGCGTAGCTCTCGGTAATCGAAGTATCTGCCGTACTGCCTGCCCCCCCCCCCCCGGGGGCGCGCGTGATGAGCACCTCAGGCTCCAATGGTAAGAGATGATCTCCTATGATAATGCACAGGTAGTGTAAAAAGGTACTAAACGGACAACGCTATGCATGTAGCTGTGTACCGTTTATGTTGCTTAACTGTCCGTTTCGCTAGAACGATGATGTCCCTCCGTTTCATCTAAAACTTTCTTTCCTCTTTCCCCTTTCGTCCTCCTGCATCACGGGTGGGCTGGTGGGATTTTGGACTTCTCGCGAATAAACATGCGGACATACCCGGGAGGATGGTAAACTCCCTGGCTACTCACTTGTGTTTTCGGTCAGGTAGTTTTCCGGTTGATTTGACAGATCGTATCTCGTGGCGCCCTTGCCAGCCTGCCCCGGGAACCGGCTGGCGCCACTGGACAGAGGATCCCCTTTCATGTGAAGGTGCAAAATGCTTCTAAACTTGTTTCTGGAGAGCTTGTCTTTTGTCTCTAATATAACGAGTTACGTCCGCGGCAAAAAGCTGGGTCGATGACACGAGCAACCGCCAAGGAAATGCTCTGAGTGCTTGCCCCCCTGAGTTCTAAGTCTGAATCCTCCATACGTTTCGGATGCTTATAGACCGGCCTAAGGCCGTCTTCTTGTCGAATACTACATGTCCGGAGTATAATATTGGCAGTCTTGTAGAGTCAGTCTGGTCAGGACTTTTACGGGCTTCTTGATGAGCCACTTCACTCACCCCGCATCCTAGGCATGATAGTAGGAATGAAGGTAGTCTCAGTTCGCTTAGAAGGTATTGGTAGTCACTCACATTTTCCCGACTCAACACCAAACCATAGCGGTGAACCAGCTGCTATGAAGAGACTATACCTCAGGCCAGGTACCTG